GGCTGGGGACAGGAGGCAGGGGGAGGGTGGCTGGGGACAGGAGGCAGGGGGAGGGTGGCTGGGGACAGGAGGCAGGGGGACAGCACAGCCCAGCGCTCCATGACAAACACCGTCACCGTCTCTCCCTGTGTTTCCCCAGACGTGGATGAGTGTTCGGACGGGAATGGCGGCTGTCAGCAGATCTGCGTCAACATGATGGGCAGCTATGAGTGCCGTTGCCGGGATGGCTTCTTTCTGAGTGACAACCAGCACACCTGCATCCAGAGGCCCAAAGGTGAGCTCCCCGCCCCCCTCTAGCCACAGACCCTCACTATGACTCACTATGACTCTCACACTTACCAGTGCCATATTAGCAGATATCATTGCTATTCTTCTATCCATTTCCTGGTCATGGTGTTGACCTGCAGCCTATCCCATAATCCTCAGGGTCATCCTCATTCACGCAGCCTCAAACAGACTTCTGATTGGTGGTAATTAGAAGCTCCTAGCCAGCCAGCAGCCCCTCATTAAAGGCCCGGTTAATTCTCAGGTGTCCGTTGCACTGCACCCCACCCAGTGTATTATCCTCTCATAAGTCTGCCCTCCCTGGGGGCTTTTCCGCCATGCGCTCATATGACACTTACTGCTCCAATTTGCCGGGTTTGCTTGGTTGTCTTGGCCAAAGGGCTTAATGAGTTGGGAAGTCCTTCTGATTCACAATCAAAGCATCCCATTTCAGCCTCTCCCCCAGCCCCAAATTTACACACTGGATTTAATTCAGTTGCAAGAGAAGAATGACTTAATTTTTTTAATTGGCTAATCGTCAGTGGATTAGGTAGAGTTAACAACTTCCCATTTAATGATTCTGGCAGCCTCCTTGTTGGGTGAGAGCAGACTGTATTTCCACTGGGGGGCGCTGGTAGGAGGTTTGTGTGTCCTGCTGTGAACTCCCTCTGTGGTGTGACAGCATCTCAGCTCACCGAAGGGCTCTGGGCCGGCGCCCGTGCTTCTCCCACTGGATCGCCTCATGGTTCGGAAGACCCCTGCTCTTTCTGTGCTGCAGACGGGCGTCCAGCTCACTGCCTGCCAGGCAGCCAGACGGAGTATCGTTTGATAAATGTGAATCCTGCATATTTTGTGACAAAATGGGCTCACTGCTCACAGGTTAAATTGCTTTGGCACCTCACCCTGCAGTGCTCCCCCCCCCCCCCACCCCCCACCATCGCTGCCTCCAGCTGCTGGCTCTTGTTAGGCCTAGAACGTTCTGCAGAAGCCCACCGCGGGCAAGGCCTTCCACGCTCTCCCAGCACAATGTAACACTTCATTCATTTGCTGCTAATGTTTTTTTCCCCTGCTCTCTCCCAGTGGAAAAACTGGGGGTGGCCGGACCCCTGGTTGCCCCTCTGGTCCCCTTCTCTCGGCGTGACCCTCACCCGGATGGGCCATCTCGGGGGGCAACGCGGGTGCCTGTGCGTGCGGGGGGAGGGGGTGCTTGTGGGGGGTGCCAGGTGGCCTGTTTTTACTGGCCGGCGTTTTACACACTCAGCGAGGAATGAGCCAATTTCATCATCAGCTGTGGCAGTGATGCTCTGGGCAGGGTCCCCAGGGGTCGGGGGGGCTGCACTTTGAGAGATGAGGGCTCCCCCAGCGTAACTGTATCCAGAGGCCCAAAGGTGAGCCACTTGCCCTCTGCTAGTCTGTCAGCCACTCGCTGGGCTGTGGAGGCCATCTTCCACACTGTGTCCATCTCCACGGTGTGTGTCCATCTCCACGGTGTGTGTCCATCTCCACGGTGTGCCCACTTGGCACGCTCAGTGGCCATCTTTAGCGGGTGTGCTCAGAGGATGTGCTCAGTAGCTGTGCTTAGTAGGTGTGTTCCATGGGCGTGTTCAGTGGGCATGCCCGATGGCCATGTTTAGAGGGTCGTGCTCAGTAGGTGTGCTTATACGGTGTGTTCCATGGGCGTGTTCAGTGGGCATGCCCGGTGGCCATGTTTAGAGGGACGTGCTCAGTAGGTGTGCTTAGAAGGTGTGTTCCATGGGCGTGTTCAGTGGGCATGCCTGGTGGCCATGTTTAGTGGCCTTACTCAGTGGGTGTGTTTAGTGGGCATGCACAATGGGCGTACCTAGTGGGCGTGCTCAGTAGGCATGCTTGGTGGCTGTGCTCAGTGGGCGTGCTCAGGCTCCTGCTTCTCCGGCATGTTCTGTCTCGTCCCCGCGTGCTGCCTGCGTGTGCGGCCAGACTGGAGGAGGAATGCCAGGCGTGTCAGAGTCCGCCGTGCGCACGTGTTCTCTGCCGTGTTTACCGGTGCTCAGCTTGAATGTAGGTGCAAATTCGTCTGGGATCATCAGCACAGTCATTCCCAGAATTCCCTTCTGTCTCTTTTTCCTAATAAAAAAAGAGGAATTCCAGTCTGGAAGCAGAGCTGGGTGTGATGGACGCCGTCCAAACGGTAGCGCAGAACGGCCCCAACTCCCCAGCCCGGGGCAGGGGCTTCTGGGATGCCGCTGCCACCCACCACCCCTACCGCCCCCTGGCCCCCAGAGTTCACTCTCCCTCTCTGTCGTTTCCATGCGCTGACATTTTTATCCTCCTGTTAAAAAGTTTTAGTGGCCCATTATCCATGGGGGAAGGAATGCTGCCCTAATTACCCAGAAGCCTTGTGTTTGGGGCATGTCACCATAGCAACCAGCATAGAACGCACAGGGAACTGTGGCAGGGCAGGGACGAGGGGCTCCGAGGGGGCGGGACGGCAGTTATCGCTTGCTCCAGCCCCATTGCCGGCCCCCCCAAGGCCTCGCAGGACGTAGAGCTAATTGGAGGGGGGGTTGTGGTTCGGCGGATCATGCTCATCTGCTACCTGAGCTGAACTCGGTCACGTAGCCGCCGTGATGGATGTGGTGTCGCTGTGGAAGACCTGTTTAACATACAACTCGCTTTCGCAGCCACTGATTAAGGACGCGTGTTTGCTGCCGGGAGCAACCCGTGAGCGGCTCATTACCTCAGAGCATCATTAAAGCACGCCGCTGTCTGCGTGCCGGGGCATGTCGCTTTAAGCGTTGCCTAGGAGACGCATCGGTTCGCACACGCTCAGTAACAGTGTCTTTGATGTTGGCCTGTATTTTTAGGAACAAGGTGAGCTTTCAGGGTCGGTGCTTTTGCTCCGCGCCACAGTCGCCCTCCACTCACCCCGCGCCCTGTGGTCTCCTCTGAACTCCTCATCTGAGTGTGTGGGGAACCGGCCTGGCAGCCCGCTTGGCCGGTTCCGCTGAGTTCCCCGCTCACGTTTAACTCCCAGCTGCCCTGGGTGCTGGATGGTACCCGGTCAGGAACCACACTGTAGACCTGTGGTTCTGTATGCAGGCTGTAATGTATTCCACTGCATATTTTATTGTTATATTCAGAATAATAAAATGGACCGCAAAGTGCAGAGCCTGAGCCTGGGCCCAGGTTCTGCCCTGATGGGGGGGCAAACGGCGCCCTCTGCAGGGACGAGCTGTGAGGGTTTCCATCTCGCAGGAAATGTAGCGGGAGAAACCACAGTATGTGGAAACATCTCTCCAAACCCCCCAGATCCAGAGCCGCCCCTCCGGTGGTTTTATGCTAATAGGGTGTAGGCTCGGCCCCGCCCGGTGGCCAGAACCATGTCTGTCTGTGACAGTATGCTTGCTAGCTGGAGCGCGTTGTTGACCCGGGCTGATGGGGGCACTGGTGAGTTCCACGTGGGTCATCCCGATGTGTCCCGGGTCGGCTCCCGGGTTGGCTCCCGGGTCGGCTCCCGGATCGGCTCCCGGGTCGGCTCCCGGGTCGGCTCCCGGATCGGCTGGCCTTGTCCGCCTCGCTCAGACATGCTCCTGTAGTGCTGCAGAGTTCCCTGGGCATGATGAGACATGCTCAGTGCGGCTCGCCATCCGACTGCCGGCGGGGTGACTGTGCATCTGTCGACAGGGATGGAGCGTGTCTGTGCTGGGGGGCCGTCGGCGAGGGCGGTGTCTTAGCAGGAATTCAGTGTTTGTCAAGAGGCGGGGCAACCAGAGCTGGTGACCGGGCTGAGGCTGGAGACTGCTGGAGTGTGTGTTTGTGTGTGTGTGTGTGTGTGTGGTCTAGATAATGTCCCCACAATGTGATAAATGCCCATATTTAATTTTTTTTTAAAACCTTTTTAGACCATAAGGGAAAACTGAATTTTCTAAAAATGTGACTGCAATCAAAACACAAAAAATGCATAAACTCTTGTATTGTGTTTGGTCACTTATGGTTATGGTTAGGGCTGGGTAGGGGTTAAGGTTGTCATTGTTAGCATTAGCATTTTTCCCATAGAAATGAATGAGCATCCCCTATGAATATTTATCATGTGATAAATTATTTTGGCATTGTGAGGACCTATTTTACCCCCACCCCACAAGGGTAAACTCGATTTCATAAAAATCTGTGACTGCAATCAAAAAACTGAAAATGGCATAAGTCTCGTATTTTGTTTGGTTACTAGTGGTTAAGGTTATTGCTGGGATGGGATTAAGGTTATTGCTGGGATTAGGGTTTTGGCCATAGAAATGAATGGAGAGTCCCCACCAAGATATTCATACTTAATCTGTGTGTGTGCCCATGTCCCTAACTGTCTGTCCCCATGTCCCCCTCACCCCTGTCGCCCTCAGAAGGACTCAAGTGCATGGACCGGAACCACGGCTGTGCCCACATCTGCCGGGAGACGCCCAAGGGCAGCGTGGCCTGCGAGTGCCGGCCGGGCTTCCAGCTCACCAAGAACCAGAAAGACTGCAAGCGTGAGTGAGCCTGAGCGCAGTGAGTTGGGTCGCTCCAAACGGGGCCCGTATACAGTGCCAGCCAGACTGCGATCCTACTGCAGCTTCGTCACATAAACCAATAGATTCTGCATTAATGCTTTAATTGATAATGTCTGAAGGACGGAACTATCCCAGCAAACAGAACCCGTTTCCTACCAATACATAAAAAGGTTTACTTTTCTACAGCTTTACTAATTGGTTGTTTAAACCAATGGTGAATTAACCAGTCCTTAGTTATGGCCGTCCATTGAGTAATGGAGTCAGTCTTTATTGTCGTTTCAAAATATGCAGATATACAGTGAAATGAAATAGCATTTGTCCGAGACTAAAAACACCTTTACGCATAACTCAACACCGCTCTATGGCTGAGAGGTGGGATTCGAATCCCCAACCCTGCAAGCCTTAGGCAACGCTCCTGCTTAATGGACCACTTCTTTAAAAAGACAGAAAAATATCACGTTGGGTCTGGTCGGTTTGCAAAGCTGTAAATGAGAATTTAAATTTAAAGGACATAATTTTTATTGTGAACAATGAGGTAATATTTTTGGTGGGGAAAATTGTGTGGTGAAAAAAGCCACGAGGGTTTACTTCATTTTATAAGGTCAGCGAGCATAAGCATTGGGTGAGAATCAGACCTGTTTGAAGGGCAGCACAGAGATCTCAATTCTGGGGTACTGTGGAGTTTTTCTGAAGTAACATTCTCCTCCCTGCTGCACAGTCTCCCAGCTGCTCCTTATACTGCCTGATCTGTACATCATACATCCCAGAATATTCACCCTCATCCTCATGAGTACAGTAGTTAGTACTATACCTATGCAAGTTCTGATTAATTTTTGTTGTATTAAAAATCATTACAAAAGCACAAATACATAGACCCCTAATCTTTCAGGTCTAACTTTGTGCTGAAAAAGCCACCTTTGATCCAGTTGGGTTTGTTTTGGTGACGGCAGCGTAGTTAGGGAGGTCTACTCCCGCATCATCTGTCACCATGGCAACATTTACACATCCATAGCAAATCGTGGCTTTCGATTCTTATAGATGGAGCAAAATACGGACAAGCAAACCCGTCTGGTTTCAGCGTCTCAGGATTTCTCAGATATGGGTGTAGAGGTGGATGGAGAGGGTTGAAGTCTACTGTACAAACAAGGATAAACATTTTGGTGCAGGTGTTCCTATCCCATAATGCTTCTGCTTCATAAGCACCATGTGAGAAGTTAAGTTATCCCAGCGTTAAAGGTAATTGTTCAGTGTATTATATATTTTTAAGCTATCTATGCAGGGGCTGATTTGCTGTGTCTGGGCCCCCACTGAAAAAGTCTAAATAAGTATAATTTTGTCTAAATAGACTAAATAAATAGCTAGTGAGTAGAGTCAGAAGATGGTACCTACCTAGTTTGTTAGCAGAAAATATCGCTTCAGCATGTCCTAAATCAGGAACATGTTTATTTAATATTTGGTGAAGTGACTGTTTGTGGTCAACAGGGGGCCACAACCTGAAACCTAGGGGCCCCACACAAATGGGGTTGGTAAACACTGCGGCTGTGTCTGTGTTGGCAGAACCCCTATCAAGGTTTTGAATTAAAAGTATCTTTCGCCTCAAAGATGAACTGAATTATCCTCCCAATGAAGAGCATGCAGCTTGGGTCTCACACTCTTCCTTCCTTTCCCGTCAGTGACATGTAACTACGGCAACGGCGGCTGCCAGCACACGTGCGAGGACACGGACCAGGGACCCCGGTGTGGATGCCACATGAAGTTCGTCCTGCATTCTGACGGCAAGACCTGCGTAGGTGAGTGAGGAGATGTGGGGGGCTGGTGTGCTGTTTTTGGAGGGGGGGGGGGGGCTGATATACACAGAACCCTCAGTAACCCCCCCACCCCTATAGCTGTATTTCAATCTGTCATGTTTTCATTCCACTTTAATCATGTTCATGGGGTGAAACCCTGGTTCACACCAGCATAAATATTTTAGGATACCAGAATTAAGAGTCTGGTGTCTGAACTGAGAACTCGGAGGGTTTTCTGAGGCAAGCAGGGCAAAGCAAGACCATGCAGGACCCTGCAGGGTCAAATAGATTGAATCAGGACTATGCAGAATCATACATAAAGGGCCATGCAGGGCCAAACAGAAGCATTAAGGGTCAGGCTGCGACATCTTCTGAGATGTATGTGAAAATGGTCCCTGGCTCCACCCAGCTCTGGTCCAGGTCCTCTGGCTTCTGCTGCTCTTCTCTGCTGTTTTTGCTTGGCTGCCCTGGCTGCTGTTGTGCTTTGCTGTGGCCCCTCATGCCGCCCCCCCCCCCTCCGTATTCAGTTACTCCCCCTTACAGCCACAAGCATACAGGCCCCTGGCATCTCAAGTAATCAGGGAGGAATTTCTGCGCTGTGGGTGTAATCAATCAAGCAACCAATCAAACAATCAGTCAGGCAGTCAGTCAGCCAATCAGTGGGTTAATCAGTCAATCGGCCGTTCAGTCAGTCAAGTCAGTCAGTCGGTCAGCCTATGTACAGATTTTTAAGAGGTATTAGAACAGACAGCAACCAAATTCGGCAGCACGGTAAGAGGATTGTGGGTAAAAGTTGTGATTGGCCCACTTTCGGCCCTGTTCTGATGAGATCCAGCTGCGATCTCTGGCTCGGATGCTACCCCGTCGTTACTCAGGCATGCACACACACTGCGGGGCAGCGGTGAATCCGAGTGCCTGCCATGCAGACCGCAGAGCCCGTCGCCTGTCGCTCTGTTACCAGGCCTTCCGGCCCCCCCCCCCCCCCTCCCCGGCTGGGGTCTAACCACACCGGCTGAAGTAGCACGAATGGTGAATAAAACCACAATAAAACAAACAGGCCCCAAAAACAGCCTGATGGGAGAAAGATTGACATGGAAGGGGGGAGGGTGCACTGATCTGAGATCAGTCTGTCCAGCGTACATACATAGCTCTCAATATGACGTCCACCTGAGAACAACCTTATAACAACCTCAACCCCTACCCAGCCCTAACCTTAACCATAAGTTACCAAACAAAATACAAGACTTTTGATTGCAGTCACAGATTTTTATAAACAGGGATGGACATAACTGGTATGCAAGTAGGCAATCACCTTTAAGATCGATATGTGCGACAATCGATTGTGTGTAAAAGCGCAAATGCGTACTTATTTTATGTGCATTTGCGCCGCTATGACATGAAAATACCTTGCATTTTAACCTGTATACCGCAAATGAAGTCGAGTTAGCATATAAAGATTAAAATGCATTATATTTTGTTTTCAAATCAGCACAAATGCACATAGAATAGGTACAGTATGCATTTACACTGTTACCACGATCGATTGTCACATATACCATTTTTATAGGTGATTGCGTACCAGTTATGTCTATCCCTGTTCATAAAACTGGGTTTCCCCTTGTGGGGACTGAAAAAGTGTCCCCACACAGTCAAAATAACAGGTTTTATCACATTATGGGGTCATTTGGGGGAGCGGGTGGGGGGGGGGGTCTGCATGTGGCCGGGGGAGCCTGTGTCACAGTATGGGAGAGGTAGCCCTCGTTTTAATTTGGTTTTAGGTGGTGGTTCCCGGTTTAGTTTGGTTTTAGGTGGTGGTTCCCGGTTTAGTTCGATTTTAGGTGGTGGTTCCCGGTTTAGTTCGATTTTAGGTGGTGGTTCCCGGTTTAGTTCGATTTTAGGTGGTACTCCCTGTTACATGTCTTTAGTTACATGTGCCGTTTCAAACCTTTGCAGATGTTTCAGCCTTAATGTTTTTCAGAATGTAACGCCAGACTGGGGTGACTGAGGCTGAGTTTACACAGGTATAAGTCAAATGTAAAACACACGCAATTTGCACCGGCATCACACCTGGTCTCCATCTGAACACGGCGTTTACACGTGATGCTACACGCACACTCATGCAGGCACATGCTGTAGGGTAACTACACCATCACCGCTCCCTATCAGACTCCCCCTCCTCACGCTCAGGGCACTGACCTGCTTGTTTGTACATTCCCTCATAATGAATCAAAACAATGTGGAAGCATTCAGAGCAGCATACAGAGAGGAAGACTGCTCTGAACGTGCAATCATCAAGACACACACACACACACTCACACACACATGCAAATCAGGCACACACTCACAGACATCACAGACCATGCTCACGCACAGTCCACGTATTCATATCTTAAATTTATAGGGACTCTCCATTCATTTCTTTGGACATACAGTGGTACCTCAGAACTCGAACTTAATCTATTCAGACCTCGGGTTCGAATCCTAAAAAGTTTGAGTTCTGATTGAATTTTCCCCATAAGAAATAATGGAAAACCAATTAATTGGTTCCCGGCCCCCAAAAATTACATCTAAATATGTTTTTTTAGCATTTAAACACAAAATGAATAGGATAAAACAAGAAGAGCATTTTTTTTCTTAATGGCTTCCAAAACGATAAAGAATGTACCCCAACACTAACCCTGTCCTGCCCTGATCTTCTGCTCCTTCCGTGTGCCACGCCCCCTCGTTAACCTCGCGTGGAACCCCCATGTGATCAGCTGTTTCTAGTTGTCATTAGTCCTCTGTATTTATTCCGCGTTTCAGTTTTTTCCTTAATCCGGTCATTGTAACTTCATTGTGTTGTTCTGCCTGTTGTCAGTTAAACCCCGTGTTTCCCGATGGCTTGAGTCCTGTCCCTGCTTCCCCGTTCCCGGCTCGACAGATCGTGATAACCCCAAGCCACGCCCCAACACTGCGCCAACACTAGACTATGCCATGGGGTCCATTGTTTATTTTTATTATTACTCTGTATTTGTTAATTTGTTCATAAATCGCAAACTTTTAGGTTGTAACATTTGTACAACTATTACATAACTTTTTGGTGAGCAATGGCTACCGAAATGATATAAAGTACAGTGTATTACCTGATACAGTATTTTCAATAAAAAAGCACCATCACCAACAAACGATGCTATTACAGCGAATGCGAGGCGGAGACTGAAGCGTTACCCTTTGTTTCCGCTGAGAGACGTGCCGCGTGACTCATTTCCCCGCTCATACAAGTTATCTTAGGTCAGCGTTCACGGTTCGACTTCTGAGATTCAGATCGAGTTCTAGGTCATTTTTTTTCGAACTGGTTGGTTCAACTTTTAAGAAATTCGAGTTCAAATGAGTTCGAGAACTGAGGTACCTCTATATTCCTATTTCCAACTATGACACCCTTAACCCCTACCCAGCCCTAACCTTAACCATAAGTAGCCAAACAAAACACAAAACTTTTGGCATTTTTAGTTCTTTGATCGCATTACATAGCCAGGTTGAGTGCCTCTGAGGCTAGGGAATGTGTGCTGACAATCTGAAGGTTGTTGGTTCAAATCCTGTGAATGCCAGGAGTGATTGTACTCTTTTGGGCCCTTGAGCAAGGCCCTTAACCTGCAATTGCTTTGTTAATCTACATCCAGCCCTGCAAGGAGGTTCTCCAACTTCCAGGAAAATTTGGGGGTTGGTGGCAGGACTGGCACTGCAGCTACTGGAAAAAACTCACACTGGTCCATTCCATTCGGACTAGTGTGGTGCTGAGGTATCGCCCGTCCCACAGCTGCACTCAGGTTCTCATCCCTGAGGTGGCTTGTTGTGTGGTGGGTGCAGCAGCGTGCTGTATTAGTGGATGCTCCTTACCTCTCGTGATTACTTTTATAAAATTGAGGTCATCTTTATGGGAACTGCAAAAATGTCCCCACAAGGTAAAAAGTTACAGGTTTTTATCATATTGTGGGGAAATCTGGTCCCCATAAGGTAATAATTACAAAAACTCACAGACATCCTCGCATGCACAGAGAGTCACACACAGACTGTCAGGAGGCCAGCTATTCTGCTGAGATAATGGCTTTGCTGTGTGTGTGTGTGTGTGTGTGTGTGTGTGCGTGTGTCTCATGCAGGGTAGGGCCAATGTGCCGCTCCTCAGGTTCTAGCTGTGTGCTCCTGAGTTTATTTCCACAGTGACTGGGCAAAGGGTTAGAAAGGGAACATTAGCTTATCTGTGTGAAGGTGAAACCTGCTGTGAGATAGCAGAGAGTTTCATCCACCTGCAAACACGGTCATGTGATTCCCTGCAGCCTATGATCCCCCCACCCACCTCACCACCTGCTGCTCAGATAGTCTGGGGGAAACTTTCTGAGGAAAAGTCTGTCCTGAGCAGACGAAGGCCGAGGCCCTGCCCCCCCCATGTCAAACCAGTGGCACGCGAATGCTGCCCTGTCAGATAGGATTGTCACCGCCACCCCCCCACGGGCTCCTCTCCCTACCCACCCCTAAGCTCTGCTGCTTTGTGGCTGTGTGATGCACCGTATCTATAATTTGCCTTTGTCTGCTTCCCCACCTGCCCTGACCCCCTGCTTTCTGGGACCAAGAGACATTGCCTGTGTTTTTGCACCTATGTGCATGTGTCTGTGAGCATGTGCCTGTGTGTACTCGCGTGTGTCTGTGAGCATGTGCCTGTATGTGTGTGCCAGTGTGCATGACTTGTGTGCTCACATGTATTCACGTGTGCCTGTGTGCTCACATGTACTCTTATGTGCCTGTGTTCATGTGCCTGTGTTCATGTGCCTGTGTGCTTGTGTGTGTGTGTGTGTGTGTGCGTGCATGCCAGTGTGCCCCACATGTATCATGTGCACATGCTTCCATGTGTCCGGTTGTGTGTGTGCTCACATTTCTGCCCAATCCTACACACATACAACACAGCTTGCATCTGCGGGATGCAGGGAATGTCAAACAACTGGAAAATAGGGCATTAAGTGCCCTTAGTGTGGCAGCTTGGTCCCTCTTGCCCTGCTCTGTGGGGGGGGGGGGGGTCTTCAGGCGTCCTGTAGTTGTAGATGCTGCCTCCACCTGTGTCTTGGGGTCACTGTGAATTGTACGCACTAAAGTGTGTTTTTACACTGTGTGTGCGCAGGGGAAAGGACTGTGCAGCTGCTGGCCATGCCTCATCTCGTGCCCAATGGTAAATATTTCTGCTCCTCTGGCTTGGGTGTATTCTTTAGCAGGGGTTGCCACGGTAACCCCTGGGATGCAGTGGCCTTTTCTTTCCAGCAGGGGTCCTCTCTCTGACATCAACTCTCTGCTCTTATAGTAAAAGCAAGGTGTGTGTGTGTGCATAGCGGGGGGGGGGGGTTCACTTGGGTTTTTTCAATGGAGTGGGACTGTGTGACTGGGGGTATGCATCAGTATTGGGTGTGTCAGATGGGGGTGTGTCTTTGGGGGCGTTTCATGATGGGTGTGTCAGTAGGGGGTGTGTTTGTGGGGGCATGTCAGTGGGGCGTGTCATTAAGAGTGCGTTTTTGGGGTGTATCAGTGGGGGTGCGTTTGTGGGGGGTGTCATTAGGACTGGGTTTTGGGGGTGTGTCAGTGGGTGTGTGTGTCAGTGAGGGTATCAGTCGGGGGTATCAATGGTGGTACATTATCCTCTTAATGTCTGACACCAGAGCCTTCAGTCTGTCCCCACGCTTATGAAACACGGAGTGTGTGTGTGTGTTTTTTTTTTCCAGATTCACGAGCAAGAGGCTTGAAAACACAGGAGCAAGAGCACTTTGGGGGCAGGTTTCCTTTTAGGGCGGGATGTGCTGTCGCCGTTGTCCTAACCCGGGTTACGTGTGTGTGGCCGCTGCGGGTCGTGAGCTAATACCCCCACTCTGCTGGGCGTGAGGCGCGTCCCAAGCACGGGAGCGAACCCCACAGGCCATCACCCCTGGCTCCGCCTCCACGTGACCTTTCTTAGCACAAGGTCGTGATGATTAAGACGTGCGCTGAACGTGCAGGGATGACGTCAGAGCCGGGGCGGAGGGATCCGGTGTGACGCGCACTGGCATGCTAAACCTGCTTTTTACAGCCCTCTGTACAATGTTTACGTGCTTCATCCTTACACTCTGCCTACTGACTCCGAAACCCAAAGGCCGCTGATATGTATGGAAGCTGAGATCTGGTGGCTCGTCCAGCATAGATCTCAGCCTTATAGTCCAAAGGCTATACTTCCTGCCAGTGGATATCGGCAAAACTCCTCCCATCAGCTTCTCGAACAGGGTTCCCCAATTCCGGTCCTTGTGGGCCAGAATCCAACGCAGATTTTCCTGTTTAAACACACCTACTAAACCTGGTAATTAGCTGATTATGGTGTGGTTGAGCAGGGAAATGTGTAAACCGTGTTGGATTCTGTCCCGCAAGGACCGGAATTGGGGAACCTTGTTCTAGAAAGTGCAGTGCTGCTTTCTGGCTGGGGTGGACGTGCTGGTGGTCCCACCTAACCCGCTGTTTTGGGGCTGCTGCCCCCTTCAGGCTGGCTGTGTTTATTTGAAGCTGTAAATGACATAAAGAGGCCTGATGCCCGTCTTGCTCTCAGTGCGGCGTCATCGTTGCAGACGTGCTGTGACTGCACTGCATCCCGCTGGGTGTCATTTGGATAAACCGCGTGCGCTGCTCAGTCACCTGTGTCGGGGGGGGGGGTTGTCACAGTTACAGCACAGGGGTGTCTGGATCCTGCCAATGACAGACTTGCGCCTTGACCAGGTCGGGGGTTTCAGATCCTATTCAACCAAACAAATCCTCAGGGTCCCAAAGGAAGTCGGATTCGTGGTCGATAGGGAAATCGGAGGGACCGGACATTTTGGGAGGCTCCACTCTGTAATATCGGGGGGGTGTGCGTTGGAGGCCCACACGGCTCCCCCTGCCCACCTGTCAGCCCAAACCCGCTCTGTCCTTGGCTCTGACCCGTGTCAGAGTCCCGGGGCGCGCTCCGGCAGCGTGTCCTCCACACTGTAGGGCTTCTGCAGGGTCCTCTGACGTTCCCGGGGGCCAAGTTGGTTTTCCGGGTGGTTCCGCTGAAATATGGGGCAGTTTTACTCTTACAGAAAGTGGAACCAGCTACCGGTCACTCAGCAGAAGGGGGGCAAATGGAGGGTATCATGCGTCGGACGGAGTGAGAACGTGTGACATTTTTTATTTTCACGTTACCATGGCAGCACTGTGTCCATGCTGTCAGTGGTGGGGGGGCTGTCTGCACCACCTTCAAACCAAATGTACAGGGGTGCTCCTCTCTCTTCAGCTCTGTTTTTAATTGGTTTAAACAGCTTAACTAATACTACTTACCAGACAATAACAAAGCTTTGTGTGTGTGTACCATCTCATTGACTGTGCTGTGTGTGTACCATCTCCCTGACCATGCTGTGTGTGTACTGTCTCCTTGACTGTGCTGTGTGTGTACCATCTTCCTGACTGTGCTGTGTGTGTACCATCTTCCTGACTGTGCTGTGTGTGTACCATCTCCCTGGCTGTGCTGTGTGTGTATCGTCTCCCTGAATACTCTGCGTGTGTACCCCCTGTCTGACTGTGTTGTGTGTGTACTGTTTCCCTGAGTGTGCTGTGTGTATGTACCATCTCCCTGACTGTGCTGTGTTGTGTGTGTACTGTACTGTCTCCTTGACTTTGCTGTGTGTGTGTACCATATCTCTGACTGTGCTGTGTGTCTCTACCATCTCCTTGNGTGCTGTGTTGTGTGTGTACTGTACTGTCTCCTTGACTTTGCTGTGTGTGTGTACCATATCTCTGACTGTGCTGTGTGTCTCTACCATCTCCTTGGCTGTGCTGTGTGTGTGTGTGTGTACCATCTTCCTGACTGTGCTGTGCGTGTTCCATCTCCCTGACTGTGCTGTTTGTGTACCGTCTCCCTGACTGTGCTTTATGTGTACCATCTCCCTGGCTGTGCTGGCTGTATATTGTCTCCCTGACTGTGCTGTGTGTGGTATGTGTACATTCTGTCTGACTGTGCTGTGTGTACCCTTTGTCTGACTGTGTTACGTGCGTGTACCATCTACCATCTCTGACTGTGCTGTGTGTGTACTGTTTCCTTGACTGTGCTGTGTGTGTAACATCTCCCTGACTGTACTATGTGTACCATCTCCTTGACTGTGCTGCATGTGTACCCTCTGTCTGACTCTGCTGTATATGCTGTCTCCCTCAGTCTGCCCTTTCTTTCCACAGAAACCTGCGCGGTAAACAATGGCGGATGTGACAGTACATGTCATGATGCCACGACAGGGGTTCGCTGCAGCTGTCCTGTTGGCTTCATCCTGCAGCCCGACCGAAAGACCTGCAAAGGTGCCGTGCCTCCACCCTAAGAGCACCCATCCATCCATCTTCATCCCAGCCCTAAGGCCTTCTCCAATCATTTACTTTCTTACATAATAATATGAGTTATCCATCAATCCATCCATCCATCCATCCTTCGATCTATCCATCCATCCATCCATCCATCCATCCATCTTCACAGGGGGCCTGGAGCATCTCTCAGGCAGCACAAGGCTGGGGTACACATGAGACAGGATGCCAGTCCATCACAGGGTATATGCAAATTTAGTCTTGCACTGGCAACTTGGACTGATCAAGGTGTATCTCCCTGCATGTCTTTGGACCCCGTGAGGAAGCCCGTGCGACACGGTGCACATGCACATGCACAATGACGGAGGAAGCGTGAGCCTGGAACCCTGGAGATGTGGGGTTCGAGTGCTACTCACCCCCAAGCCCTTCTAGCAATCCCACCATTCCTAAATCACACTGCTTTGCAAACACCCCCCTTTTAAAATAACACAGATGTTTGTAGCCAAGTTGTTTTGGCTAACAGAAGGATGTCTTCATTCATTACCGCCATGGAGTCCGATCCGTAAACAGCACAAAGACAGAGAGCACAAACAGGAACATGGGCCGAGTCTGCTTGGCTTGGGGGAGGGGCACGCCTGAGCTGGGGGGCCAGCTGCGGACGGGGATTAGCGCCCAGCATTTGGATAAACTGCCCTTTATTAGGAAACAGTTTTAGACAGGGCTGGCACGAGAAAACAGGCTCTGGCAAGGGCTGTCCAGCTCAGGGGGGGCTCTATTATTTTATTCCGCTTTTTATGTATTTATTTTAAACAGATGAGCTCTTCTGAGAGCCTGGGCTCGTTTACAACGGCGTTTCCAGCTTAATGAAAGCCAGGAACACGTTAGCCGTCAGCGCCGCCAAATCAAAGCCGCGGCCCGGTGACGGATCGGCCGGCTGACGGGGGCGGCGGAGCAGAAACTCCCGGGGTGGTGAGGAAGCAGCCTCATGCCATCGGGCCGGGCTTGCATGCGCGGGACAGATGCACAAACACTGTCTGCGGGCGGCTTGTCCTCGTAGGTGGATGAAGGCTGCTCCGGATGTCTTTTTTCGGAGGGGTACAGATATTTATTATTTCCTGTCAGCCCAAACACTCCATGTATTGCTGATCCTGGCTTGAACTGCAGCTTCAAAAGACCCACATCTTCACCTCCTACCCATGGCTGTGTGTCTGGGCCTCTCTGCACAAGAGTTTGCCAGTGTCCCATAATGCAGTGCGACTCAGCCGCCTCTCTCCTGTTGTCCAAAATGCAGATATCGACGAGTGCCGGCTGAACAATGGAGGGTGTGACCACGTATGCCGCAACACGGTGGGCAGCTTCGAGTGCAGCTGCAAGAAGGGCTACAAGCTGCTGACCAATGAGAGGAGCTGCCAGGGTAAGCCCGCCCCTTCCCTATCGCGGTTTGGCATGTCTGCATCTCCACCCCCTTTCACGCGAGCTGCAGGGTGATCCATTTGACCTTTGACCTTGCTAAGGGGAGCCCAGCAGGGGTCTGGAGGGCTGGTCACCTTCCGCTGGGAGTAAGAGGGGGAGGGCCCTGGCTCCAGCAGGGTGCGGAGTGAATGTCTAATTTGTTCAGCTTTGCATAAGACAGCTTGTTCTGCTACCCCCATGATTGGTGGCCACAAGCAGCACAGTGATTGGTGGCCACAAGCAGCACAGTGATTGGTGGCCACAAGCAGCACAGTGATTGGTGGCCACGAGCCATGAGCCACTTATCTGTCAGTCCTGGGTAAGATCCAAAGTTGCTATTTCAGGAGCTTTGGGCTCCACGTCTGTTAATACGAAGTGTTTTAATGAAATCCCCCATTCCAGCACCCAAATCCCTGTGCTGACTGTTGTTGGCTGGTGTCTCACAGGAAAAAGAAACCTTGTCATGTATGGAGGCAATTAATTAACCTCACAGTTGGAAACCAGAGGCATGGACCGGCCTGTCACCCCGGGTCCCTCTGGCATTCAGTCATGCAAGCTAGGGCACTGAAGAGCGGGGGAGGCATTGGTGCACCTTCCTGTGCGTCTGTGTCTCCATGGTTACAGGGAGTCCAGCGATCAGGGCTGCCCGGTCAAATGAGGAGTGGTCCAGCCCATGGAAGTGCGCGTGGGCGTCCCTGTGCTGCCCCACCCTGCCCCGCCCCTCCCCCGCTCCCCATATTTATCAGATCGAGCCTCTTCCTCTGAAATGGAGGGGGGGGGGGCACCTAGATAAAGCTGCAGATTTGTTTATTCGCGCTGTGTAAACAGCGGCCCCAGTCGCCAGGGCCTGACCGTGACTCGGCTGAGGCCCCTGAGGAGGGTTACAAAAAGGAATGGGTTCGAGTGACGGTCTGGGTCGGCAGAAGGTGGTGACGTCTTATCGGCACCGTGCAGAGGAGCCTGATGAGTTGTACTGATGGGCCACTGGGTGCTTCGGGGGGATGTTCTTGCTGCTGCCAGAGCCCCCGTGGCATCTCGCACGTACGGGGGCCCCTGCCGGGCACACCTGCAGCACCCCGAGGGCATAACGCCCACCTTGTTGTCTGTCGCTGGTCCCCCTCTTCCGCGTTCCGCTGTCAGAATTCGACCAAAAGCTGGACTGCACTGATGCAGTGTATGTGACCCCAGTGCCGTATGAGCCCATCAAGCTGCGGAGGGGGCTTACAGATGCAGAGATCTGGTGCAGTGAATAAGCAAACCAGTGACACTCACTACTATACAGTGGATTCAGGCATTGTGTGGGTCCTGCCCCCTGGTGGCCATATCAGGTCACATCCAGGAACTTGCTTGTATATTTAACAGACATTTTTTCATTCAAAGTGACATACATTTAAACCCAGTGGTTCAATTCAATTCAGTTTATTTACATAGTGCATTTTCCCAACATTGCATTGTCTCAAAGTGCTTTACATTTACTCGGGCCGAAGCCCCCAGAGCGCCAGCCAGAGGCGATAGCAGTGAGGAAACACTCCCTAGTAGGAAACCATGCAAATGCAGGCGTGAGGAATCCATGAGCACCAGCATTCCAACAACACAGGGGACACAGGAAGCCAGAGTGACAGCACTGGGAGCGGGGGGGGGGGCAGGGATGAGGAATCCCTCAGCACCAGGCTGAGCACCGGCATTCCAACAGCACAGGGGGCCAGTTCATCCCCAGCAAACTCTATACTCTATATAACCCTAAATGAGGGTGAGAACTTGCTATCCAGCTCTCAGCATTGTCACCATATGCTAAATATGTGAATTTTTAGCTTTGACTTACAACCCTGTTTCCAAAAATGTGGTGACTAAGTAAAATGTAAATAAAAATATAAAGCAATGATTTGCAAAACATAAAAACCCAAATTTAATTGACAACAGAACAAAGACAACATATGTTGAAACTGAGAAATGTTATTGTTTTTTGACAAATACATGCACTTTTGAATTTGATGCCAGCAACACGTCTCAGAAAAGTTGGCAGAGGGTCAACAAAACACTGAAAAAGTTGTGTTGTGCTAAAACAAAGTACCTGGTTGAATATCTCGCAACTATTTAGGTTAATTTGCAACAGCTCAGTAAGATGATTGTGTATAAGAAGAGCCGCCCAGAGAGGCGGAGTCTCTGTGCAGTGAAGATGGGTTCACCAATCAGTGATAGACTGCGTGGGCAAATACTACAGCAATTTAAGAATAATATTCCTCAACATAATGTTGCAAATTTCATTGTCTCAATAGTATCATGAAAAGATTCAGAGAATCCAGAGAAATCTTCTCTGGGCTCGAGCTCATTTAAGATGAGGCAAAATGGGAAATTGCCCTGTGGTCTGATGAATCAAAATCTCAAATTCTTTTTGAAAATAATGGATGCTGAGTCCTCCGGGCTATCATGACACAAAAAATTTGGCGCATCATGAAACGAAAATTTTGGAGCATTGTGAAATGAAAAATACGACAAAGGAGACCCTGAACTGTTGAGCAGTTGAAATCCTATATCAGGCAAGAATGGGACAACATTTCACTTTCAAAACTGCAGCAACTGGTCTCCTCATTTTGCAGAGAGCTGATGCAACACAGAGGTAAACATGCCCCTGTCCCAACTTATTTGAAATGTGTTGCTGGCATCAAATTAAATCGAACATATATTTGTTGTAAAACAATAAAATTTCTCATTTTCAACACTTGATATGTTGTCTTTGTAGTATTTTCAGTTAGATATGGGTTTATATGATTTGCAAATCATTGCATTCTGTTTTTATTTACATTTTACATCCCAACTTTTTTGGAAGCGGGGTTGTAAATGTCGGGAGTGAGTCTGAATCTAGCTCCTTTGCTGGTAGACTATTCCATAACGTTAGGGCTCTGTAACAGGATGCTCTGCAGCCAAATGACAATCATTCCACCCTGGACACTGCCAGGTATCCCACCCCTTGAGAGTGAAGCGGACGAGGGTGGGTATATGGAACCGGTAAACTGCTAATTTGCTCAGGTGCTAGACGATTCAGTGCGTTATACAGCGCTCACAGTCTTGGGATGTTTGCTTACTTCAGTAAAAATATTGCAAATGTATTGGTTTTATAACAATATAATATATAATCACTGCTTTCTTCATTTCTTTAGAAAAATATATGTCACAGTAGAAACGACCAGTAGTATTAAGCAAAACATTCATTTCAAGTAGTAATACATTTAAACCCAAATTGTAGTTCTAAAAGGGCTGTTCTGAGTTAAAAAGTTCATTGACGAGCGGTCTCATTGGGTGCTTTTTAATTAGTAACACATTTGCAACAACATAAAACACCAAACATTTGTATTTAGTTTCCCTTTGGGAGCTAATGACTACAATAGCAATCAATAGCAAGATGGGAAGAACAGAACTTAATGAGTCAGTCAAAAAGATGAAGACAATAAAAAGAAAATAAATGTGCAGAAGATATGTGCAAATATGGTAAACATTGATTGTCTATGTATTATTGTTATGAAACTAATAAATTGGCAACATTTTTACAGAATTAAGCAAGTGTCCCAAGACTTTCTGTGAGCGCTGTAGGTAAGCAGTAGCGCCTTGTGGTCGATACGAGACCTAACCGGAAGCCAGTGGAGTGAGACCAGTGCAGGATGGATATGCACGTGTTTCCTCGTTAGGACTCATGCTGCAGCATTCTGCCCGAACTGGAGCTTGTTTATGTAGCGGCACACCCAACCAACAGGGTGTTGCAATAGTCCAGTGCAAAAGTTACAAAGGCGTGTATTAACTTCTCTGCATCCTGAAGAGAGAGCATTGTTCGGAATTTTGCAATATTACTCAGATGGAAGGAAGCTGTTCTGACTGTGTTATTTGTGTGAGCATCCAGAGACACGGCTGAGTCAATAGTGACACCAAAGCTTTTAACCCCTGTGCTTACATTGACGAGGCCATCGAGCTTTATACAATCAGCATCACCCGGGGCTGTCCTTGGGCCCAGTAGTAACACCAATGATCTGTCAGGATTTAACATAAGGAAGCTACTGGCCACCCAGCTCCTAACTTCAGCCAATCATCACTCAGTCTTTGACAGCTGAGGCAACTCATCTCTTTCAATGGATATGTACAGCTTAGTGTGGTCTGTATAACAATGAAAACTCACACTATGTTTCCTAATAATATCACTAAGGGGCAGCATGTACAAGTTGAATAGTATTGGGCCCAGGACAGAACCTTGTGGGACACCATACCTCACTCTCGTGGAATCAGAGGATTTATTGTTCATTGTTACCCTCAGTTATTTATGAGCGGAACCAGGACAGCGCCTGCCCTTTAACACCAAGCAAAAACTCTAGCCTTACCAATTAAATTTCATGGTCAACAGTATCAAATGCTGCACTTAGATCCGGTGGAACCAGCAGGGAAATGCACCCATCATCAGCAGCCATAAGCAAGTCTTTCATGACTCTAATTAGTACAGTTTCACTGCTGTGATTTAGTCTAAACACTTCATTAATGTTCTTTTGCAAGAACAGAGAGCTGCTTTTTCTAAGATTTTGAAAATAAATACAAGGTTAGAAATAGGTTCAGAATCACTTGGCTGACCTTGGGATTTGAACCAGTGACCTTCTGTACATGAGCACAGCATTCTAATCCACCCCTGGTTCAGCCCCCATTCCCTTTGAGGACTGTCTGACCACTGGCCATAAGGCACCTCATGTTGATGTCTGAGCAGAAATATCTAGAAATAAGGAACGCTTGTTTTTGTTCCATCCAGGAAAACCTCAGACATGAAGTGAAATAGCCCCCATGCTAAGCGCCGTGTGTCAAACGCGACCCCCTCGGGCTTCCACTCGCCAAGCACTAATTCATGTCTCACAAGCCCTGGAAAGCTCAACGAGGAGAAATAAAGATATTTCTGTCTCACTAAATTGTGGAGTTCAGCTCTTGTTTAAGAAATTATACATAGGAGGAAAAGGGAGCCACACGTTTAGGGTGTGATCTCTAATTACGGTGCGAATGTGGGCTTAGAAGCGACGTGGAGGCTGTTATTATTCACTTACTTAGATCCTGGACGACTTACTATGCTTGCAGTTTTACTGTATAGGAAACTATTTGAAAAAATCTGGAAGTTTTGTAGAAAAACCATGAGCTAATGGATTTTTTTCATATACAAAATCAAACACGCTGGCACAGCAGGGAGAACTGGAGTGTGGTGTCCACTGAGTAATTGGTGTGAACTGGGGCAGGTAGACAATAAAGTCCACCGAGGATGAGGAGGACTGTTTGAAGAATGCAGATGGTGGCCTGGCAGTTAATAAAGAGCTCAGGATGTCGGAAGGACCACAGGAAGAAATGAGATGTTAAGTGTAAAAAGGAGCTGAGCATCATCTTAGGTGGGAAAATATGGGTGTATTTAGCGAACCCATAAAAGGAACTGATACATCCATTCACCCTCCATCCATTCATCCATTTCCATACCGCTTTCCCAGTACAAGGGCACACTTAGAAAATATTCCTCACCAACATTACAGTATATTGCATTGCTGAAGGAAAGGATTAAAAAAGACTAAAAAATGTGGTGTGCATTCTGCTCATAAAGGGAACAGAGAATATGCATGAATATTGGGTGACAGAAGGATAGAAAATGATAGAAATGTATATTTATTGATGTAGAGCAACCTTTTGACTGCAAGTATTGGTGGGCTGACATTGGAGGTGAGAGATAGCAATCATCAGAGGGGAACAGGAGAGCTGAAGAAAATGGTGTATTATAATCTGAAAGTGGAGCTCAAGATGGTTGGGATACATTCAGCAGAAGGTGTCTGAGGGATACTATCTCTGTAATTAATGCTGAAGTGCTGAGAGAACCTAGGCTGAGACTGGAGCAAATATGGATGGTGCTGGAAACAGAGCCTTAGGGAACCCCGAGCGGAAAGAACGAGCAGTATGAGTGTGTTCAAGAATCCTCCCCAGGGCCGAGTGCTTTAGTGTGCATCATCCCTCTGTAGTAAGCAGCCTGAGGGCCTTTAAACATTGTTTTTTGACTGCACCTCAAGAACATCCTGTCTGCTGCCTCCAACTAGCGCGGGGGTGTGGACTCACTGCAGTTGGGCAAGTCGGAAATGGGTCATCTGATAAAAGGACACTATCTGGGATTTGTGTGTGTATGTGCAGCCGGGGCTTGGATCCACAGCCATCATAGGATAAGGTTAGGGTTAGTCATCACAGGATAAGGTTAGGCTTAGTCATCATAGAATAAGGTTAAGGTTAGTTATCATAGGATAAGGTTAGGGTTAGTCATCACAGGATAAGGTTAGGGTTAGTCATCATAGAATAAGGTTAAGGTTAGTTATCATAAGATAAGGTTAGTGTTAGTCATCACAGGATAAGGTTAGGGTTAGTCATCATAGGATAAGGTTAGGGTTAGTCATCATAGAATAAGGTTAAGGTTAGTTATCATAGGATAAGGTTAGGGTTAGTCATCACAAGATAAGGTTAGGGTTAGTCATCATAGAATAAGGTTAAGGTGAATTATCACAGGATAAGGTTAGGGTTAGTCATCAAAAGACAGTACTACAGCCAAAAAAGGCAAAGGCAGTCCTACGTGAATTACTCAATGAATACAACACAAATCAATCTGCTGATGGATTGAATATGCCCCCAGAACTTGATGAATATAAATAAATACAGAGGGTAATCATCCATAAGGAGATGATCCTCATAGTGATATTTAATACGATCATCTTCATGAAGCGGCACTTCTTAGCCCTGGTCCACATCACCAGCTCCTTCCGTGAATCCTTTTGTCCGCCCACCCATAGATCATACATGGATTTACCTCAAAGTGTATATTTATATTGTATTCATTTAAGGAGATTCATAAGAACAGGATTAAGATTCTGAAGGTCATTTGCCTTTCTGGGGTTTGTCTTGCTTTTTTCCACAGATATCGATGAGTGTTCCTTTGACCGAGCCTGCGATCATTCCTGTGTCAACTCACCCGGGAGCTTCCAGTGCTTCTGCCACCGGGGCTACGTCCTGTACGGCCTGGCGCACTGCGGAGGTGAGCTGGCCTCCTACTACTCTGATTCAGCCTCAGCTATTCTCACACTGGGCTGGCTGAGGTGACGGTGGTACAGCTGAATGTGAGGGATAGGGACAGTGTCTCTCTGCCCAGCCACGTGAATTAGGGCAGTATAACTTGTTGATGAGAGAGCTTCAGTGACTGAATGGCTTTGATGATGCTGTTCCTGGGCCTGGGAATCCATGCGCTCTCTCCAGCGGACCCCAAGGCTGCATACTCCTTCCTTCTGTTATCCCGACGGTCCATAATTCCATGGCTCCAGCTGTCATAAGTCACCGCCTTTTAATTGTCTCTTTAAATCAAGTAATTTCGTAGCCCAGTGCTTGGGGACGCCAGGGATGTGAGATCCTGTCCCCCAGCATCACTGGCCTGATGGTCTGGTTGGAGTGGTATATTGAGCAGCGAGCTCTCCTCTAGTCCTTCCTGCCCAAGTCATCCCTGTCCTTGCCCCTCTTGCCCTCGTCCCCCCCCACCCCCCGTCGCTGCCACCCTCTGGCAGAGATTAATGAGCCTGCCCACAGAAGGACGGGGCATGTCAGCGAGACTTCAGACACACCACCCCGGGGCTCCTCGATGGAACCTCAGCTGAAAGATGGGGGGGGACTGTCTTCTGCGTGCCCCTGAGGGCAGCTTCTCATCTCTCAGCCTGTAAAAACACGCTTTCGTAAGTGCAGAACTCTGGAAGGTGCAGAACATCAGTCAGATTACTATGGCTTAAATGAGGAAAAGGCAGCCCGCTGCCCCCCATCTGAGGCGTGTCAAGGGGCTTTGAGGAGGAATCTGGAGGGAGGCAGCGGACTGGCACCAGGTCCGGTGACTCAGGGCACCCTCAGCCCTGCTCTCATTAAGTTATTTTCTCTCTGGCTCCTGCTCTGTCCCATCTGGTTTGAGTGTGGTTATGCGGTTTGGTGCCGTGTTGAAAACCCATGTAATTTAGCCCGTTTCCCGAGTCCCGCCCTCTGGCCCGCGAGCGGCGTGGCCCGGCAGAGAGGAAGTGCGGTGTGGCTGTATCATGTGTCCCTGAGACCTCAAGCCCTCCGTCGGCCCCAAATGCAAAAACACACATCTGTCTCGCCCGTGACGCTTCAGCCGACGGGGGTTACTTGACCTCCCTGGGAAACTCTTCAGCCCCCCCATTTTGAGCTTTTAAATATTTACTTAAAGCCATGGCGTCCATCATATGCAGTATTATCTGCTGACCGGCTCATTCTGGACGTGTCCAGGTTGTGAGTGATCGGTGCACCATTCGGCGAGCCTCGGAATGAATCTGGGGTCCCGCTGGATGGAACAGATGGTTCCTGCTCTGCATTATCGGGCTGGCCTTGTGCTCCAGCCCCATGTGGCTGTCTGTCTGCTCAGGTGCATGCTGGGAGGTGTGGCGGGGGAGGGCCGTTCAGCTGCCGCTGGCGCCGCATGTTCTCTCTTCACGCAGGTTTGGCTGGCATCTGATTTAATTAATTACGCCTGATGACAAGTAAATATGGCAGGAAATGTGGGACATTTCAGGTCATCGGGCTGTGCAGCGCATGAAGGGGGTGCGACAGACCGTGTGTGTGTGTGTCTTTGCAGATATCGACGAGTGCAGCATCAACCGCGGCGGCTGTAAGTTCGGCTGCATCAACACGCTGGGCAGCTATGAGTGTACCTGCCCCCCCGGGTTCAAGCTGCACTGGAACAGGAAGGACTGCATTGGTATGTCAGCAACCCCTTCGTGGCCGGAGTGGGTGTCCGCAGCCCACAGACCCTGACGCTTCTGGCCTTTCGAATGATTAACTGATGAGCGAATTGACTGTAGCAGACTGCACCTTGTAATGACTTTTGTGTGTTTGCGTGTGCTTGCGTGTGTTTGCGTGTGCGTGCGCGATCCAGAGCAGGTGAAGTGCGTCTCCAGCTTGGTGTCCTCCAAGGCGACTCTGACGTGCAGCAAAGCTGGGAAGAAGGAGAGCTGCTTCCTGACCTGCGCCTCCAAAGCTCACTACCTGGCAGGTGGGATGGACTGCCCCCCCTATCCGGTGCCGCCCCGTTCCGCTCATAGGCGCCCCCTGCTGGCGCTGAGCTCCTGTTTGCATTACAGAGTCCGACAGCAGCTACAGTGTGAGCTGTGGGATCCCCGCGGTCCGCGGCAAAGCCCCCGGCAAGATTGACAGCGGCGCCAGCCCCACCTGCACCGGTACCGCTCCCGCCACGGCCACATGTTCACCGCGACGATGTCGGCCCATTCTTGGTGCCCGCTGGGTCACCACATTTGTGTCAGTCACAGATTTCACTCCTCGAGGTTCATACTTATCATGTAATGACATCGTTTTTGATAAGGTGTATTTCATGACTGGCTCTTGGGGGTGAGCGGGGAGGTCTGCACCCCAGAGGGCGATGTGACAGCGCATCAGCTGCCAGCTGGGTAGACTCACCAGAATGGTCTTCAAATAACTGAACCTGTAGGAAATATTATTACTGGTCTTTATCAGAGGTGGAGAGTTTTTCCTCCTCTGGTCTTTATGGTGTCTGAGTTTTCTGTAAGTATGCAGCTAGGACAGGACGTCTATGCGAAACAGCCAATGCAGTGTCACCCAATAAGCACACATGGTCTGAGCTGTCCAATCAGATTTTATTTGGCCAGACATCAAAGTACACAGGAGTGCTTTAATTTTGCATATGCTGTCTTGCTTTCCTATGAGGCAAACTTACAGAGGTGAGAGTGAAGCTTGGGGTCTGAGGCAGCCACTTATCCAGGGTCCCTCGGGCAGCTTTCAAGGCCGAGGTTCTTACTTAAGAGTCCAAAATGATATGATCAACCCATTTGAAGCAGTGACTTTCCAATCAGTCTCAACCCTCATAGTCACACCCCACCCCAACACACACATCACACGTCTGTCTGTAATGACTCTGACCTATCGAGTCAGAGTCCGTATCAATGCCTGCATCGCTGGGCCTGTCTACAGAGACTCTGCCACCCCCGGTGAAGCAGACTGCCTCCTTCAGGATCAAAGATGCAAAGTGCCACCTGCACCCCAAACTGAGAGGTCGAGCGGATGAGGGGGGGCGCACGCTGGGTCCAGGTGAGCTTCTCCTGAGGTGTCGCCAGTACACCCACCAAATCACTGCATGTTAATGGGTATGATCTGCCCCCTCATCGATGCCGCACTGTGCCTCCACAGGGAGCGGGCAGCCCTGCAATAACTGCCTGGTCACCTTTGTCAACCTCAAGTGTGACTCCTCCAAGAAAGCCAAGGGCCGGCGCGCCCGTAACCCCAGTGGCAAGGAGGTGACCCGCATCACGCTGGAGCTGGAGGCTGAGGTCAAGCCAGGAGACAGCACAGGTAAGCCGGGTTATATGACTGCCCCGCATGGGAGCCCTGCCATCTCCATCTATAGGGGCGGCAGGGGGAGCAACTTGAGGCCTCACAAACAGGTCTGTGACATCATGGAGGCATGACATCATAGATCAGACAAGTGACATCACAGCTGGTCACGCCACATTTTCTGATATTCACACGCCTGCAGGCATCCTGCAGACTAACATCCACACACACAAACACTCAGTTCATATTAAAATATTTCCTAAAATAGCAATATAGGTAAAGTAGGACCCACTTTGAGTCATGATTCAGGGATGTGCAACCCATCCCCCCCCCCCCCCCCCCCTCCAGGTAGCTGCAACTTGAGCTGCCTGAGGCAGCGCATGGAGAAGCAGGTTAAGACCTACATCAAGGCCCTCAAGAAGTCCATCAACCAGGAACGCTTCCTGCTACGCATGGCGGGCCTGGAGTACGAGGTGGCCCAGAAGCTGCCGCAGCCGCCTGAGCGCCAAGAGAACTGTGGCCCGGGTCGTGAGAAGGACAACGGGCGCTGTGGTAAGGAGATGATTGGACTGGACAGGGGCAGGGCCACCTGCTGGGTGGGAGGGGCATGTGGCCTGCTGGCCGGCGTTCACTGGTATCCCTGCCTCTTGCCCTCAGTTAGATGCCCCGCCGGGTCGTACTACCACGGCGAGCAGGAGCGCTGTGTCCTCTGTCCACCAGGCACCTTCCAGGAGAGGGAAGGCCAGCTGGCCTGTGACCTGTGCCCAGGCAGCGACGGACACGGCCTGGCCGGGGCCCGCAACATCACCTCCTGTGCAGGTGAGTCCACTGCTGGCCGTACAAAGAGTAGCAGACTTGGTTTTATCTCATTGCCCACTTGAGCAACCTGGTGCACTGGTCCACTGATCCCAGGTCAGTGCCCGATGGGGTCCTACTCCAGCAACGGCTTCAAACCCTGTCAGCCATGTCCGCAGGGTACCTATCAACCGGACCCGGGCCGGACCCTCTGCTTCCCGTGCGGGGGCGGCCTGAGCACCAAACGGGAGGGTGCCAGCTCATTCCACGACTGTGAGGCCAGGGGTAAGTGCGTCCCTGTCAGGGCAAGCGCATCAGCTCACGCCAGAGCACTCTATCGGCACTCAGATGCAGCTCGTATTCACTTACCATGCTTCTGTGTGTGTGCGTGTGCGTGTGTTTGCAGTTCAGTGCTCCCCCGGTCACTATTACAATACGACGGTCCACCGCTGCATCCGCTGCCCTCTGGGCACCTACCAGACTGAATTTCGCCAGAACTACTGCATCTCCTGCCCTGGGAACACCACCACGGACTTTGATGGCGCCACCTCAGTCTCCCAGTGCAAGAGTGAGTCCTCAGAGCCCGCCAGCCTCCTGCCAATTAGACACGCGCACCCGCTCGGGGCCTAATCAACGCCATGCTGTGCTGCAGACCGCGAGTGTGGGGGCGAGATGGGCGAGTACACTGGCTACATTGAGTCGCCTAACTACCCGGGCAACTACCCCGCCAATGTGGAGTGCACCTGGAACATCAACCCCCCGCCGAAACGCAAGATCCTCATCGTGGTGCCCGAGATCTTCCTGCCGTCCGAGGATGAGTGCGGAGATGTGCTGGTGATGAGGAAGAACTGTGAGTCCGTGTGGCTTTTAAGTCCGAAAAGTTGGCTTCACACTGCATCAAGCCGCGCACAGAAGTACACGATTGTTTGGGTTGTTCCCAGAAACTGCACCCAAGTGCATTTAGCTCAATCCCTTAATCCTGCTCTTCTGTTCCTCTCACATCATCCAAAGTCAGGCTTCAATGCCATGATTCTCAGCCACTGAGGACCTGCCAATACTTGCTGCAGTTGCTTCTTAATTAAGGAAGTTTAATTGCATGACTCTGAACACTGTAAGGCTCTCAGGGGGCAGGGTCTTTTCAGGAGAATATCTTAGCTGTGGCAGGTTCACTGCTTCATCTGTGCACCTCGAGACCCCATTAATCTGCCTTTACGTAATTAGAATTATTTCCATTAGGGGTCATTGGATGATCGAGGAATCTGATGATAATTGGAATGGGGTTTAATTGACTTTGATATTGTGTCATTATATCAGGAATTAGCTTTCCATCCATCATCCCTCCATCAGTCTATCCTCAAATCACTTATACAGTACAAGGTTGGGCTGAACTGGATCACATTTTGATTTTCAAGATCACTTCATTCAGTATAAATCAAGTTGTGGTCGTACTTCAATGGAAAGCTTAACTGTCAGGACCTGCTTGGAGAGGCACTGGTTTAACTTGAAGGTTAGGATCATACGCAAACCTTTACAAGGTGGCTGAGCTCCTCCGGCTGGTCTCAGCAGCTTCCCTGTCCTCCAAAGGGTCAGCCACCTCCATCACAACCTACGAGACGTGCCAGACGTATGAGAGGCCCATCGCCTTCACTGCTCGCTCACGCCGCCTCTGGATAAACTTCAAGTCAAATGAGGCCAACAGTGCCCGTGGCTTCCAGATCCCGTACGTCACCTATGACGGTACGTCTACCCGTCCTCCATGTGTCCGACTGACGCCAAGACTTGCCCTAGATGCAATGATGGTCAAATTATTAGAGCGGTCCTCTACATGCTTCCTGCTTCCCTAGAAGTACTTGTCCTATCTGTGGTACTTGGGGAGAGGGGGACAGGGCCCCATGTGGGCTTCAACTGGCACTGCCCAGATGAGTCTGTTGACATTTGGCTTTGGCTTTGCAGAAGACTATGAGCAGCTGGTGGAGGACATTGTGCGGGATGGACGACTTTATGCCTCAGAAAACCACCAGGAGATCCTCAAGGTAAGGGATTCTCTGGGTAAGAACGTGCGTGCATAACCCATGTGACCTGCCTCAGTGATGAGTGGCTGATAGGCTGTCACTAATGATATGCATCTACGACTCCTCCCCCATCAGGACAAGAAGCTGATAAAGACACTGTTCGACGTGCTGGCTCACCCCCACAACTACTTCAAGTACACTACCCGGGAGTCCAACGAGATGCTGCCCCGCTCCTTCATCCGGCTCATTAGCAGCAAGGTCTCCGCCTTCCTGCGGCCATATAAGTAGTCAATAACTCCGCCCCTTCGGTTCCAGGCCCCGCCCACAACAACGAAGGCTCCTGACACCTAGAACACAAAGGAACCTTATTTCCCGAATGGCTTTGAATACACACTTCACTATGCAGACTTCCCACCATCGCCAGCCCAACAGTGTGGCCCTCGCATTGTGAAAAACCTCGCCCTGAACGCTTTGGACTGTATGCGACCCACCGGGAACCGGGGAATGAAAACAGAACACCCAGCACCACCAGAGGAGGTGATGATGATAACGAGTGTGGATCCAAGCAGAGCGAGTGCATTTAACAAGAGCTCTCTTGTTCTATGACAGATGGGCGCCATCTAGTGTCCAGGCCCAGTTCTCCCCATGGATCTAATCGCCGCCTGAAAACGGGGTCCTTTGTTCCATCTCGCATTTTTCACAGCATTCAAACCCTTACTATATCTAAGCTCTTGGAGCAGTTTACTATTAAGATCTTGCTGTTAAAACAGTTAAATTTCCTACCTGTTCTTTGTTCTGATTGTATTATTGTCCATTGCTTACTTTTAGATCAATAATTTTATATTCCAAGTTTAACTTATCAAAGTGCTAACCTCTTTGTGAATAAAAAGTCTGGGGAAAAGGAATTAGGGAGAGAGAGGGAAAGGAGGAGAGGTGGTGGGCCATAGCGGCAGCACACCACCAGGGGGAGCCTGACAAATGTCTCTTTGGGACACACGTTCGCTGCTGACTTAAAAAGGTCACTTTAAAATAAGTAATTAAATAAAAATAAAAAAAAACCGCCTCCCGGCCGCCAACCTCGTCTGTTACAGCACCCCCCCCCCCAATACGAAGCTACATCATTCGGTTAAGAGCAAAAGAGCTGCTGGAAAGACTGTGCTCCTGCGAGGGGGAGGGTCCACTGCAGTGACTCTCACACTCCCCCTGCAGGACACATCGGAGATGGAGATTGACACCTGGGTCTAAGGATTTCTGTCCCTAAAACATCCAAGGGTCGATCTGACCCTACCTCCGGCCCCCAACAATTAAACCATTAAAATGAGCTCTTCCAAAGACTTCCCCGGTGGTAGGACACATTCTTGTGGTATGCACTAGATTTAGACGTCCCATCTTCATCGTTTAAGTGCAATGAATTTAGGCTCTAGTTCTTGTCTGTGCAAACACGCCAAGAACGATATTTAAACTTGCCAAAACTGTACAATTTATTTAAAGTTCGAATAGGATATATTCTTAGGCTACTTTGAAATGTAGCGACTGGCTTATGGTTTGTGTTAAGGTGTTACACTATACTGAAAATTCAATATTAAACCTATTGTAAATGCAATTTCATACATAAGAACAAACTCCCAGCCTCATCATTAACAAACAAGTACGTGCTTTAATGAGAGCGCGCGTGCACGTACGCACGCATGCGCAGGTCAGCGCAGGTGCTGCTTGGGTGGAGATCCCTGCACTGAAAAGCTGTGGATGTTCATGATGCCCCCCGTCAGAGGCGCGCACTCAGAGGTCCTTTCCTCATGCGACATGACAGTGTTTTACCTGCTTTGTTTATCTGTGCCGTGCGTCACCCTTACAAACACCCCGCCCCCGATCGCCCTTCCTCACCATTTTTGTTTTAAAATAGCTTTTTTTATAATGAGACTTTGCCATGATGTGTCGTAGAGTCGATAATGATATTTGCACTTGAAAATTGTTATTGCTCATGTAAAGAAATGTCCGGATTTTGTATTGTCTTTTTTAAATGAATGTTATCGGTGTTCTTAACCTCCGGCTGGTATTGGTGTCTTCATTGGCGTTTGGTCCGCAGGCTCCAGCTAACCAACAGTAACCAACCACTAAGCATTTTACTCTACTATAAAAACCAAGCATTGCATGTCATTAGCGTAACTTATAGACATGAACATAATGCAATCTTTTAGGTTTTCGTTAGAATAAAGTATACTTTATTTTATAACAAACACTTACAGATGTTTGTGGGTTTAGTTCTTTCGGTCAAAGTCGGGTGGTAGGCCTAATAAAGTTTACAAGTCGTGTCAGACATATAATCTCTGAGGATCCGTAACGATATATTTTAATCGCTAGAGGGCGATGCTGCTCTTCATTCTGATAGAGGGAGGCAAGCAAAGCCTTTCTCATGACTTAATTTTTAGTCTGCTTGCATCAGGATTCACGTTTATATTTTCTTGTTAAAGGAAAAGATGTAATTAACACAAAATATACAAAAACAAAGCATTTTAAACGTGCAGTCACAGTTAAGCATCAACGCCATTTGTCAGGTTCACTGTGAAGTACCGCAGTATGACAGCAGAGGGCAGCCCGAGGGGGAAATGTAGGCAGATTTCTTCCATTAGCTCCACAAAATGCTTCCTTAAAATGAACTCAGGTTAAATTGAAAGACAAAGATGTTGCTGGAAAAGAGTCACTGTGTGCTGTTTAAGCAGAAAGTCTGAGGTCTTTCGATTTACCATCTTGTGCAGAGAGACTCAAAAAAATAGTGTGTTTATGCAGGTCTTCTGATCACGCTGCTGTAATCTCCAGCGTTACTGTGTGTTGGCCAGTTTACCTGCATCACTGCGTCCCCACCCAACCAAAGCAGCACCTTTGGCTAGGAGGTGATGCTACGATAATGTAATTCCTTGGTAAGACCCCACCTAGAATATTGTGTTTAGGTTTGGTCACCATACCTTAAGAAGGACATTGCTGCCTTAGAAAAGGTGCAACGGAGGGCTACGAGAATGATTCCTGGTCTTAGAGGAATGTCTTATGAGGAGAGGTTAGCTGAGCTGAATCTGTTCAGCCTCTAGCAAAGGAGATTAAGGAGAGACATGATCCAGGTGTATAAGATTCTAACAGGTCTTGATGCTGTTCAACCAAATAGTTACTTCAATATTAGTTCAAATAAAAGACCCCGTGGCCATAGGTGGAAATTAGCTGGAGAACATTTTAAAATGGATTTGAGAAAACACTTCTTTACACAGCGTTTAGTTAGAGTATGGAATAGTCTTCCTGCTAGTGTAGCAGAAGCTAAAACTCTAGGTTCCTTTAAATCAGAGCTAGATAAGATTTTAACAACTCAGCAATTAGTTGAGTTCTTCCCAAAAGAACTTGATGAATGGCCTCCTCTCGTCTGTAAATTTCTTATGTTCTTATGCAGGTTTTTGCTGCAACTCCCTAATTAGATTACCAATTAGGGGACTGATTGGCTGAAGAGTCCACACACTTGGGTTTGAACAGGCTACTTAAAGGTTATCCCAAAAACCTGCATACACACTGTGATCGCTCACCCCTGGTGTAACATGACATCCTGCAGAAGCGGTAACTCAATCACGGGGGGGGTTAAGCCTGGAAGCCCACGGAGCAATCTGTCACTGCCAGGGCATGGTTCATAGCATGCCCCCCTCCTCAACCATATGCCAAATGATGACCAGTCTACTGATGGATGCAGTTCATCTACACCGCAGTGCACATGCAGTAAAATGAGTCACCTTGTACTGGTAATTTGCCAAACAGTTAAACTATTTACTTCTCCATCACACATGAATCAAGGTTGAGCACCCAAGAGTCCACCAGAAAGCAGGCTCCTGATGGCCAACCCTGCCTCAACCCCATCAGAGAGCAGTATAGTGATGGCTGGCTGCTACTGTTCCGGGTGTTAAAGGAACAGTAGCCACCCTCAATACTGCACCTGAGATGCTTTCATTTTGACTGAACCGTTTTCAGCTCAGCCCATCTTTAACATATTTATATAGGTTGTAGATGGCATTTCATCAGAGCTTTCCTCATACTACTCACACAAACAAATGCTGGCCGGTGTGCGAAGGCAGACTGTTCTTCACCTCTCACACAGAATTGGGTGCCATTAGATCGTACAGCCCTGGGATTATGATACAAAACAACCCAATAATAGTGGACCTCAGCCATAACAGGGAACCAAATTACAAGCCATTAGCCGCTGGCTATAGTTAGAATCTGCTGGAAGTGCTCAAGACAGGAGCTGATGAAGACCCAATCAAACATGTGCAACCAAGAGGAAACCTCTGTGTGCGATGAATTGAACAGTGGCCTGATTTTCTATGATTGTAAGAAAGAGCAGCAAAGGAAAGCCTCTCATCTTACGGTGTTTACAAGAATAATCATGCAGTGAATCTGTGCTAAACGGCGTGAAATGTTTTCCAAACTGAGCTGAGGACAGAGTTGTCACTGTAACACAAATCTGCACAGAACAGTAAATACTTCAGCCATAACCAAACTAGATAAGTTTACCTTCATCTTAACCATAGCTAGTTTAAGTTATAATTCTACCATGAAAAGCCAGTTATGTTCCTATTCTGTGCATAAATGATTGTCAGATGGGCACGCACACGCACACACACACACGCACTTTTCCTATTTAAATACAGAAATATGCTGACATGCCCAAAATACACATTAAAATGCAGAAATCCTATTCCATTAAAAAAATACACAAATACATCAAGAATTTGGTTACTTTTTCATTTATTAGTTGAACAATTATGAAAAATAATTAAAAAACAAAGACGGGAAGCCCAGGATTATTTACAGTCGAGTTTCTGTACCGAGCCGAATCCCGGCGAGATTTTAAAGGTCTTCCAGCGTAAGACAGCTAACCAGGTACCGTGATATGTGCAGCTTGAAGAACACTTCTCTCCCCCATCCAACAAACGCGGCAAAAAAATAAACATCACATACATATACATATTTATATTTATAAAAGCAGAATCATTCAAGTATCAAAATACAGACGGCTAGGGATTATTTAACAGTCCACGATGGCTGTCCTCGGGTCCTCGTGGAGATTATGGATTAGTCTCAAGGTGCTACGTCTCACGATCAGGATGTGCAAATGCTGGAACGGAACCAGGACGTCGCCCCAGGCCCCGATGGGGGGGGGGCACTAAAGCTGCACGGGGCAGCCAGGGACCGCAGAGTTCTGACGGTGTGAGTTTTGGCACCAAGTAGAGATAAAATGTAACCGGGGCATTGGTATGTTGGAGTGGTCTCACCACTGCTCTCCATGGGGGGAGGGGGGGGGGCACAGATTTTCACATCAGTTCACCTGAAGAGCAGCCTGGCCCAGTCCCAGCATGTTTACAGTTAAAACATCACTAAACTACTGCAATGGATTTAAGTTAAATTAAAAGAATTTTACCCTCATTTACAGAATGGAAACAAAAGCCTCACCCTCCGTAGTGTCATAAACAAAGGGAAAAAAAAAAGACTGAAATGTACCGCTTTCCATGGCAGACAACCTGGGGGGGGGGGGGGAGATCCTTGAAGTACAGTAAGGACACTTCCTGAGGTCCTACACCGCAGAACGCTGCCAAGTTCAAGAACCGCCAATATACAAACATTAACACCAGGTCCTGAAGCTCACAGACTGGTCTGGACTGGGGACCTTAGTTTGGGAAGGAGATGTGTATGTCACATGATTTCAGGTCAGAAAACAGAACAGAAAGAGCAGCGAGACCCTGGACACCCAACTTGCTGAGAGATGTTTCAAATGTCCAGAAACGGAGAAAGGTAAACATGATGGTTCGTGTTGACAGAATCAGCCCAAAGTGGTCATGCTCTGAGAAGATGGTATGTGACCCTTGAGCCCCCTCCCCCTCCCCCCACCCACCCAAACAAAAAAACTGACCTAATGACCATGCTGTTAGTAACCACCCTACGATGACGGTTAAGCTCAGCAGATAGAGGGGGCACCACAAAGACAGCTTTGACAAACAGTTAACATGCTAAAATCAGGTCTCCTGAGTCTACTAATGATTCCGGTCTAACAGTGGCCGTCACACAAAAATCTGGGGGGGTAACATGTAAGGGTGGGGTGAATGCAGGGCTGGCCAGAGGACCGGCACACTTGGGACAGCTCCTCCGTGGATGGTCTTCAAGGTGTGTGCAAGCGGGGGCCCAGGGTGGGGCTAGAGAGGGTGTGCAGAGTGAAACTGAGTCACCTCTCACCCTGACCTCTCACTCACAGCTTGGTATCCGCCTGAACACAGGAGTCAGCTACACAGAGGAAGACACATGCCAGGAAGTTAAACGCTACCTCCATTCACTCTGAGGAGGACTTAACAAACATACTAACATACTTCAATACTCTGAATGTACTTTGACCTCTAATCTCTAACACAACCTGTTGTAAAGGTACGTTCTACCCAATACTCTCCAGACAGCAAACATGCACTCTACAACACTGCAAATGCCAGGATTTCCCTGGAGTACTGGAAGAATGGGGAGAAGATTAAGTGAACAAGAAATAGGGTGTGGGGTGGGTGCAGCAGAGCGCAGCTGAAAGGAAGTGTACAGTGCAAACAGCTTTGGTCTGCAACAGCAAACATTTTAGCAGAAGATACTGCATAACAGACAGGCACCTTCAAAATGTATCAAAAGGTCAAAAAATTTAGCATAGGCAGCAGCTGAGTGGGGTAGGGCAAGAACGGGAGCCGCAGACATGCAGAGCTTGACGTTCCCTCAGCAGCTGCTAATGAAGGATAAGTGTCGTTTCCAGGACCCTCAGACTCTGCTGGTGGAGAACGAACCCAGCAGAATGTGACCAATGACAACAAGCTTAAGGATGGATTACCGTCTTCAAGACGCACAAGTTACCTTCTACTGTTTTATTTTAATCAAATCACACAGATTTTACTGACACGTCTAATTCTAAATGCATTTCACCAAATACCACATGGTCTAACAGCAGAGTCAGGGGTAACGAACATTAAAGTCTACTCTGTGCCATCAGGAACCCCAATGAACTAATCAGCATTAGTCCACTGTGTACAGCTTCTAGATGACATAACAGGTTACATTAGTTACTTGGTTTAACTAATCTATCCCATAAGCTCCCCTTCCATACTTCCACATTGAGACCCAACTGATGACATCAAGCTTCTTTTGGCTTCTTTCCTAGGGCAGTTGGTCCATGGCTGCAGGCTCAGGGAGTCTTTTGATTGAATTTAACACGGGGGGGGTTGTTATTGCTTGTTTAAACAGTCATTGTTTGCCAGGTATATATTTGACATACAATACCATCCAAAAGTCTTGGCACACCTGCTTTTAATGCGTGTCTCTTTTTTAGAGATTTTATTTAGCAGAGTAAAATGCCTGGAGGCAATTAAGTAATACACATCAAATATTACAAGGATCAAGAGAAATGTTTAACATCTCAAAATGTTCTCAAATTTTAGACTCTTCAAAATAACCCCCCTTGGCTTCAATGACAGCATTGCAGATTTTTGGCAGTTTTTCAACCAGCTTCCAGATGGAATGATTCTCCAATAGTCCTGATGGAGTTTTGACAAGTTTTGGGCACAAGCTGGCTCCCTTCATCTTATTCCTCAAACCAACTCACTGTAATCCAGCTCTGTAGGGTTTATGTCGGAGAATTGTGGGGGCCAGGTGATCTGTTGCAGCACTCTCTCATTCCTTGTTCACAAGATAATACTTACTACATAACCCTCAATACACCTCAAAGTTATCTTGTGAAAACCAAACGATTTTCAATTAGTGTGTCCAGACTTTTGACTGGTATTGTATGGTCAAATCCTATAGGGCCATCCTCCAAAATGACCAGAAGCTGACATTCGCTTCCTGAGAGCTTGTCAACGTCATGCCGAAAGGAGCTGAAAACATTAAGAATGTCAGTTAAATACACGTTTTTCACCATGGCTCAACAACTTTGTATCTTCATTACCAAATTGCTTTGGTTCCTCATTAGATCCTGTGACTCTGTTGACTTAATTGACTTGCCAATCGAGCCATGATGCGGTTCAGTTCGACCATTCACCAGTCGATCTGTGATCCTGCTAGGTTCCGCCATTCACCAGTCGATCTGTGACCTGCTAGGTTCCTCCATTCACCAGTCGATCTGAGACCCTGTTTGATTTGGCCATTCGGCAATCGATACTGTGGTCCTTTTCGCTTTGGCCATTTGCCAGTCAATATGCAGTCCTGTTCTGTTTAGCCATTTGCCAGAACATCCATAATCCCATTGGTATTGCCATTTTCCAGTATTACCATGACCCTGTTCAGTGCCATTCAATCCGTCTCTGCTGGGTTTTGTCATTTTCCAGTTGAGCTGTGGACCCTGTTGGGTTCCGCCATAATGCCTGTCTATCTGTGACCCAGTATGGTTCCACCATTTGCACTGGCCGTTCAAAAGTTTGGGGTCACTTAGACATTTCCTTGCAAAGTTTGATCAGTCAGATTGATCAGAAATACTGTGTAGACATTTTTAATGTTATAAATGACTCATAGCTAGAAACGGCCGTTCTTAATGGAATATCTGCATAGGTGTACAGAGGCCCATTATCAGCAAGAGTTAGTCCTGTGTTCCACTGGAATGTTGAGTTTGCTAATGCAAGTTTATCATTTTAAAAGGTTAATCGATCATTAGAAAACCCTTTGGCAATTATGTTAGCACAGATGAAAATTGTTGTGCTGATTAAAGAAGCAATAAAATTTGCCTTCTTTGGACTTGTTGAGTATTTGAAGCATCGGCAATTGTGGGTTCAATTACAAGCTCAAAATGGACAGAAACAAAAAAAATCTTCTGAAACTCGTCAGTCTATTCCTGTTCTGAGAAATGAAGACTATTCCATGCGAGAAATTGCCAGGAAACTGAAGATCTCGTACAATGCTGTGTATCACTCCCTTCAGAGAGCAGCGCATATTGGTTCTAACCACAACAGAAAGAGGAGAGGGAGGCTCTGGTGCACAACGGAGTGAGAGGCCTCATGGGTCTTCAACTGGCAGCTTCATTAAATAGTAAAAGGCCAATCTCAATGTCAACAGTGAAGAGGCAAATCCAGGATGCTGGCCTTCTAGGTAGAATTGCAAAGAAAAAGCCATATCTCAGAATGGCAAATGAACACAGACAACGGACAGAGGAAGACTGGAAAAAAGTGCTATGTATAGACCAATCTAAGTTTGAGGTGTTCGGATCACAAAGAAGAGCATGTGTTAGATGCAGATCTAATGAAAAGACGCTGGAGGAGTACTTGACATCTATCCAGCATGGTGGAGGTAATGTGATGGTTTGGGGCTGCTTTGGTGATGGTAAAGTGGGAGATTTGTACAGGTTAAAAGGGATCTTGAAGAAAGAAGGCTATCACTCCATTTTCCAACGCCATGCCACACCTGTGATCGGTGTTTAACTGGAGCCAATTTCGTCCTACAACCTGACAATGACCCAAAGACAGCTCCAATCTATGCAAGAACTATTTAGGGAAGAAGCAGGCAGCTGGTGTTCTGTGTATAAAGGAGTGGCCAGCACAGTCACCGGATCTCAACTCTATTGAGCTGGGAGCAGCTTGACCAAATGGTACGTAAGAAGTGCCCATTAAGCCAATCCAACTTGTGGGAGATGCTTCAAGAAGCCCAAGGTGAAATCTCATCAGATTACCTCAACAATTTGACACCAAGAATTCCCAGGGTCTACAAGGCTGTAATGGCTGCAAATGGAGGACTCCTTGACGAAAGCTTGAAGAACCCATTTATTATTTTAAATTAAAAAAATTATTATTTCTAACTTTGTCAATGACTATTTTCTATATCTTTGGCAGTATTTCCTATTCAAACTCATTTAATGTATGTTTTCATAGAAAACAAGGGAATTTCTAAGAGACCCCAAACTTTTTAAAGGTAGTGCATCTGTGACCTTCTTAATTTTTCTCATTGTGACCATGCTGAGTTTGGCGAGTCGATCTATGGCCTGTTGGGTTCCGCCATTTGCCAGCAGATCTGTGATCCTGTTCAGTTTAGTCATTTGTCAGTCAAAATGTGACCCTGATGGGTTTTTCCATTAGTAAGTATTTCTGTGACCCTGTTTAGGGTCCTGAAATTTTCCAATTGATCCATGATCTTGTTCGGTTCCACTATTCACCATTCGATCTGTGACCTTTTTGGGTTCCACCATTCGATCTATGGCCCTGTTGAGTTCTGCCATTTGCCAATAGATCTGTGATCCTGTTTGGTTTAGTCATTAGGCAGTTGAAATGTGACCCTGATGGGTTTTGCCATTAGCAAGTATTTCTGTGACCCTGTTTAGGTTCTGAAATTGGCCAGCAGATCCACGATCCTGTCGGTTCCACCATTGACCAGTCGATCTGTAACCCTTTCGGGTTCCGGCATTTCATCTATGGCCCTTTTGGGTTCCACCATTTGCCAGTAGATCTGTGGCCCTCCTTGATATATCCATTTGGCAGTTGATCTGTGACCTCGTTGGGTTCTGCCATTTGTAAGTAGACCGATGATTCTGTTTGGTCCCGCCATTAGTCAGTCTGTGACCCAATTGGGTTCCACCATTTGCCAGTTTATCTGTGACCCTTTTGGGTTTGGCTATTCACCAGTCAAACCCGTAATCCTGTTGAATATGTCCATTCACCAGTCGGTCCTGTTGAATCTGACCATTCACCAGTTAATCGCGTGATTCTCTTCACTTTGAACGGTCACCCAACAACATACTCACAGTACTTCGGGTCTAACCATGCTACACCATTAATTCACGAGAAACAAATTCACAGTGGTAAATATCGCCTCCCTCAGGCGAATGAGCTACACAGCAGAAGGATGTTTTACCCCTGACTAAGAGCCTCAGATCAGGTGTATGTGTACAGTACAAATCACTTCCCTTTGTTCCTAGGAAAAACTGGGCAGCCCACTGCTTTAATATGCATAGAATGATGGAGGCGAAAGAGGGAAGAATCTGACAGCTTAAAAGCTGCTCCAAGGGGAGACTTAGTCTGAAAAATTATCTATATCTGAGATCTAAAAATTAATCTGAAAAATGGTTTTATTTTGCCGAGTCATGTTTTTTTGTGCCGTTTCTCCCACCTCTCAGCTCAGGTTTGAGTTAAGCGGAGCGCCTCACAGTGGTCAACACCTGGTGCAACAGGAAAAACACCAGAAGAAAAATTAGACAGGATCATTGAAAAGGAGACGAAGGAAAACCAAAGGGGGGCAGCGGGTGAACGAGGGTGCCTCCGCGGGACATGTTTGAAAGCTGCAAGAAATGATGCACACGTCATTTTAAAAATGTGGCAAGTGTGCCCATTGGGGATTTATGCATGAAGTCAGCATGGTGACCATTCACCTGCAGGGAGCAGAGAGCCCCATCATGTCAGTGATCGGCCTTGCAGGCTGGGGGGAGGGGCAGCAGGGGCGAATTAGTGGGGCGCCACCTTCTGTAGCATCAGCGGCAGCAAAGGCGGGGACTGATCAGAGCGAAGCTGAGATGATGGGGGAAAAAGTGGAGGAGCCTCGCTCTGAGAGGAAGGGGCGTGGCCAGAGGCAGGCACACAGATTGGGGGTGGGGCCAGCCCAGAGGGAGTCACAGTGAGAAGGCACGAAGCAGAGAAGAGGGTGGGGTCTAGGGCTGGGGGCAGGGAGCCAGCTCAGAATATGGTGGTCTCATACTTTGTACTGATGCTGTGTTTGGAGTCCTTTGGGTCCACCAGCCACGTGGCACTTCCCTGGGACTGTGTGTCCACCTCCAGCTCAGCAGAATCTGTCTGCAGGGGAGACAGCAGGACACAGATCAGCAGCTGTCACCTGGACATAAGGAGTCGATCCTCACAAAGGTTATCGGATGCAGTCGCACTGGCTTGTTTATTGGGGTGACGGACCCTGAGGGTCACTCATACCCTGGGTGTGCCTTAAAGGCGCAGAACAGCTGAACAACAGGCTTAACCCTCACAGACAGGCCAGATGAGGACAAGATAGGAGCCTTTGCTTAAGTTGAGTACAAGGACTGACCGATATATACCAGGAAGTATCCTTTGCACACATCGAATAACCTGGAAAACTCCAGTAATCGTAAAAGCAGCCTAACACAAATCATGCTAGAGGGACTGTGTCTCCCAGCAAGCTAGGGAACCTGGAGCCAGAGCCTGTGGTTTGGGAAACAGACAGATCTGTACTGACTGGCTGTAGACGATGCAAGCGTGAGCCTCAACAAGAGAAATGGTGGGAGATGACAAATATTAAATGTCTCAGTAGCGTGTACTTAAAGGCAATTTCATCTAAAAGGGAATTTGAAATGACATGTTTCAACAGGATGCCCTGAATTTCTGCAAGCGCATCATGTTAATCCACTGTGATTGATTTGCTGTACCTGTTCCCCCTAGAGAAGCACCGGTCGACCGGTCAGGGACCGGAATCGGACGATTTTCAGCGTGCACGGCTTGGACCAGAGGCCGGCAGGTCAGTGTCATGTATTTCCGATACTGAACTGGTCTGTTTTATGCATGCGCCATGCGTCACACACTAAGTGGCGCAGGCAATAGTCTCACAGCCGTGTGCACGCTCACAGCCGTGTGCACGCTCACAGCCGTGTGCACGCTCACAGCCGTGTGCACGCTCACAGCCACGGGCACGCTCACAGCCACGGGCACGCTCACAGCCACGGGCACGCTCACAGCCACGGGCACGCTCACAGCCACACACTAACATGTCGATAGCGTGGAAGTTCTTCACTGCGAATGAAGACACCACAAAGTTTGCAATTTATAATACAGGTAAAGTCAAAGTAAAGAGTGGGGGAACCACCACGAAAACATGATGAGACATAGGAGGTAAACTTTAAACGGGTTATTAAACATATACTAGAAAATCAATAAAATTGCAAAGCTAGTTAAGGTTTTTTTCTGTGACAGAGTAAAACGTTTTAGCGAAACTTTAACCCCCTGCGCTATGATGTCTGTACAGTATGATGGTATGAAAAAGCCTGATCTTAATCTAGCTTAACAGCGATGCAAGAATTGTATGTGCATATCATGCGATGTTGGTATTAATAACCTATTACTATTTGGAAGAGTTAAGCAATGCTAAGCCTTGACTTAACACTGCTGTTTCAGAATCTCTGTATCTCCACATGCTCTGTTCCAGTGAGGCTGAATTTTACAGCAAGTTAAGCCCACCCTACCTCTCTTAGGGACCGTGGTGCTTAGTGGTAGGAGCAGGATTCAGATTTACTGTCACACTAGTGCAGCTTTAAGCAAACTGAAAGAGCCGATGGGTTTATAGGTGTGGGCATGCTTACTCCTCTGCTACGTGCAGGCCAGTGCTCGCTCACCCCAGACTTCCTCATGCTGCCTCGAGGTTTGGGTACTGGGCGGCTGGACTTGGTCTCATTGATCTCTGACGCTTGCTGCTGCTTGTTCCTCTGGGCCTGGAGAGCGAGCTGATAGGCCACCTCGAATGCCTGTCCCAGCGTCAGAATGATCTCATAGGTCAGGTTCTTAAAGGAAGGAGGGGAGTAGAAGTAGAGTTAACGCCAGGAAAGAGGAAAGGTCTGAAAAACAGCTGTGAAATCTGTATATCGCAATGTATGCAAATTGCATAAAATCACAAATATGAATTCTATATTTAGAAAGCACACAATCCATCATATGAGATCCCAGAGAAGGTGTGCAGTCAGACAGACTGCCTGACTGCCTCGTCACAGACAGAGACCTGCTCAATGGTCATACTGGTTGAGCTTCACTCATCAAGGAGTGTGCGTGCAGCAACACCCACAAAGACGTGCAAACCAGCTTCAGAGGTCCACCTCTTCACTACCGCATCTCACCAAGCTCACACGGGCTGGCGGCACTGCCCGCGCTGCGATCGAACCCGAGCGCGTGTCCCCTGAAACCTCACCACGTCCATGGTGCTGAAGACATGGCAGTAGTGGTGGCTGGTCTGCAGGTCCTTGGTGATGTAAGCGAAGGTGCAGAGGTCTTCGGGGTCCTGGGCTGCACAGGAGATGTTTCTGATTTCATGCTCAGCGATGACGTTCTGGGGTACAGAGGGCGGATCAGTCAGTGGCCCTGTTTACACTTGGTTTTGAAATTAGTCTTGGACAATCGGATCGCAAATGGACAATGCTAAATACCAGTGTAAATGACCTCCAAGATGCATTGCGATCCATTTACTCAAACCACTTGCTGAGGTAAAATGGGATGCATTTCACCACACAGGCCAATCTTTTTTTGGTAAACACTAATGTGTCCCTGACAAAGATGTTTCAGTAACTGTGCACGGCGCAGTAATGAAATCTGAACACGTGGTCAGTTGGGTGTGTTGACGAAGCAGGAGAGACGCAGGTGTGAACGGCAGTGTGTCTCAGCTGACTACCTGTGATTCAATCGGCCAAGAGGCACTTAAAACCCCCAGTGTAAACAGGGCTAGTGAGTCGAGTTACTAAGAACCCATCATACACAACCATGAGAAGATTCCATAAAATCCTACATTCGTGAAATCACAAGGCAGGCAGGCCTGCAGTAGGGGGGGACGACCTGGCAAAAATATCACGATTCCCCCCCCCCGACAGGATCATGGTCCATGATCTTATCACAATTGTTTTTCCTGTGGCTTTTTAAGTTCGTTTTGCTAGTTACTGAACAGAACAACCCAAGCATATTAACATCATTAACATTATTACATATTATTAACACTAATTATTATTATTTTAAAAATGGAGCCCTATAAGGTAACAAACCCCTCTGCCCCCCGTGCGTGACATACCTTGTTGGCTGCGTCAATGAACTTGACGCCTTTGTATGTGATGGACAGGATGATGGTGGGGACCTTCCTCATTTGCTCGGTGGACCTCTGAGGGGTAAGAGAAGCATAATCAATTTCACAACCAGACGAACAGTATGGAACAGCAGAGGCTGCTGAAACACCAGCGCAGCATGTTTACATACATTAACTAACAGTAATTAGTCAACTTACACAAATGCAGTAAAGGTCTGCTTCAGGCCTGGGATTCCATATTGGACCAGACCATGGAGCAGATTTCAGCCAGGGGAGTGATGGATATCATAGTTTTACCCAGAACAGGGACAAGGGCCGTTTTCCCCATTGAGCCTCCAGAGGACAGGTAGGGACCGGGCCCATAACATACCCTCATTTTCGCACAGGCGTCCTGGGTAGACTCGGTACCTCGCAGGTTCTTGATGAGCATGGATCCCAGGTACTGTAAGAGAGGCAGCCCATGCAGGTTCAAGGCACAGCTAACCATTCTCCAGCTAATGGCTACCCTCCTGTGGATATGGCTAACTGCTCCCTAGCTAATGATGGCCCTAACATGCAAATGGCTAACCGTGCCCCGGCTAACGGTGGCCCTTACGCTAGCTTCATAGCCACAAGACTCGAAGATGAGCTTCTCCGGTTGATGGTGCCAGTTTTGGACCGGTGTGTACGGTGCTGCGAGGCTGGGGGGTCTCAGGGTCAGGCGGGGCTCCTGCTGCCGGTCCCCAGCTCGGTCCTGCAGGACAAAGATGGTTCTGGGGGCTGTTCTCATTGAAATGGACAAGCCTCAGTCAACAAAACCAAGCAGGAGACTCACGTGGGGGCGGGGCCGCTCGCTGCAGGAATGTTGGGGAGCCTCATAGTCAAGGTCAGGCCCCCTCCTCCTCCCAAAATCCCCCTGGGACAGGAGAGGGTCCATGGAGTGTCCTGTGTAGGAGTCCAGGTGACTGAGCGTAGGGGGTGTCTGTGAGGCCAAGTCCTGACACTGAAGAGCAGAAACAGAACACAGCTTTGACACACCTCCAGAGCACCATGTAGCACATTCGAGAATGTAGTACCGCACAGAGAGGACCCTTGTAGCATATCCGAGAACCCTGGAGCACAACCAAGGACCCCATAGCACAACCTGAGGACCCCGTAGCACTCCTCAAGTCCTTGTAACACACCTGAGGACGTTGTAGCACACTCAACCACCACATGGCACACCGGAGGACCATGCAGCACACTTGAGAATCCTCCAACATAACCCAAAGACCTTGTACGACACTCCCGGACCCTGTGGCATACCCGAGAACCCAATAGCACACTCAAGCACCCCATAGCACACTTGAGGACCCCGTAGCACACTCAAGCACCCTATGGCATACCTTAGGACCCTGTACCATACTTGAGCACTCTGTGGTAGGGATGTAACGATACACTCAACTCACGATTTGATACGATTCACGATTCTGGGTTCACGATATGATTTTTTAGCAGAATGAGCTACAGACAAATTTATTGAAAAATATTCCTTTATTTATCGTGCTATTTGTGTACGTTATCAGTCTTTTACAATGTTTGCACGCAGTTTTTTGTCTTGTCTGTGCTCTTCTCGCCGTTTTCGTTTGTGATTACCGGAAAGTTAAAATGTTGCCACACCACCGATTTAAGATCGGGCGGTGCGTCCATTCATCCATTTTCAGAAACCGCTTAATCCCAACTGGGGTCGCGGGGGGGTCACGGCAACAATGGGTGCAAACGGGAACCAACCCCGGGCAGTCACCAACACACTGCAGGGCGCACACACTCACAAGCCAATTCAGACTCACCAATCAACCTATCCTGCACGCTTTTGGATGATGGGAGGAAACTGGAGGCCCCGGCGAAAACGGGGAGAACTCCACACAGAAAGGACCCGGGACTGAAAGCAGGACCTTCTCGCTGTGAGGCAGCAGCGCTAACCACTGCGTCACTGTGCCGCCCGGCTGTGCGTCCTCAGTTTCAAATTCGCTCGCCATCTTGCGTTCGGTCAAAACCAAAAACTGACGTACGACGTCGACGTGAATACGCAGTGACATTGGACGCCGAACTGACGTCATGAAATCAAATGCAATATTACACCAGTTTTTCTGTCAAGTAAAGTACTGTGAAGTACTCCTAAGGTAGCGATTCATTTTCCGCATCAGCCGGTTTAAATTGTCATACATTTGCATCGATTTTTAACCGATTCGCGATTCATCGTTACATGCCTACCCCTGTGGTATACCTGAGAACCCAGTAGCACACTAAAGGACACCCATAACATACCCTTTGTTCCACACTTGACAACCTCATGGTGCAATTTCGAGGGAATAATTTAAACCCCAGACATCCCATGGCTTCTTAACCACTCTGCTACTAGCATTTATGAGAGGCGGGTGTGCGATTATCTCGTGGTAGACAGGCAGTGAACACACACCCTTATCTGCGACAAACGGGGCGGCTTGACGGGGGGTTCTTCATAGCATCGCTCTGCCAGAGAGGCGATAATCCGTTTCCGGTGCCCGAGCAGTGTGATCTTCAGCACCTGGAGGTTGGGAAAGACGTGAGTGTTCACACACCACTAAGGTAGGGGTATGAAAATGGTTTATAAGGGTCAGCAGACCCCTGACGAGCTTTAAGTATGCCCAGGCCGGAGTCTCTTACGTTGACAATCTCCAGTTCCCAAAGATTCCTGACGCAGTCCAGGGAGCGATATCCACTGGTTAAGAAGTTGGGCAGATACTCCTGCAGGCCCAGAGCATCCAGCCAGGAGGAGAGTGAAGTGCTGCCATCAGAACCCAGAGCTTTCACCTGTAGGGGGCGACAGAGGGTCAGAGAGACCAGCAGCAGTCCACAGGAGGCAGAATCAGCAATTGTGAACTTATCAAACTACGATAACCATGGAAGCACGTCTTTGAGGGCACTGCCAGCAGCCCCAGGTTCTGTTTAGGCTTCCGCTACTGCTCCGGTACCTTGGGCAGTGATCGGGCTGCCTGCAGGATCTTCCGTCGATGCCCTGGGTCTGTGACGCCAATCTCTCGGAGATCCTGCTCCTCCATCACATTGCTACCCTGTGGGGCAAATGCACCAAGTGGGAAGATGGCGTTAGGGGTTTGTCTCACACCCATACCTATCTCCGGCCAGCAGAGAGGCAGCCCAAGGTGTGCCCCCCCCAAACACCACACGGGCGCTTCGACGACTCCACGCCACACGTGACACCTCCCCCAGCTCCCAATGAGCCATGTGGTCATTCTCCACCCCCTCAAGCTTTCCACAACAGACAACAGGCAATTTGAGTGATTTTCACCACAGAGAGCAGACCCCCCCCCCCCATACCTCCACCTCCTGGCCAACCCCTCTCTGGGAAAATGTTGCCATTCGCACAGAATATGGGACTGCAGAGGCAGGCAATTTTTGTGAAAAGCTGGGGGGGGGGGGTGTTGGTCTGGAGGGGAAGCAACAAACTGCTTCTGGAAAAAAACGGAGATGGCTGATTACAGGACCCCAGCTGGGAGGGGGGAAAGCGAGAGTAACAGGACAGGCTGTCAGCAATACCCAGAGGACCAAATGAAAGTGGTGGGGGCCAGGGGAAGCTGCCCCCCCCCCTCTGACACACTGGGGGACCAGCATCCACGAGCAGCACAGACACACAGGGAAAGCAGACGCAGGGCTGACTGCAGTGACAGAAACATGGCGAGACAGGGACCCCAAACAGACCCCTAGGACACTGTGCTGGGAGCTTCTCAAACTTTGTTCAGGCACACTTCGATTTCCCAGTCTGCCTGCGCTGCATATGCGGATCCTGCCGCGCCAGTTCAGCAAGAAAAGGCACAAAGCAAGAAGATGTCCTGTCGATGAACGTGGCACTCGGACTGCCGCAGAAAGTCAGCAGAGAGCTCCAGGGGGAGGAGCCAAACCAAGGGGGTGCTCAGCAAAGAAAGGAATCCATTCGTTACGCGAAACAGCTGAGATCACAGGGCTGAGTCCCTCACTCCACACCAGGGTCATGTAACTCATGACAGAGGACCCTGTCCACCCAGACCAAGCCACCCCTAAACCGTGTGATTTCCCTAAGCACCCCCCTCCCCAGTCTTGCTGTGCCAGTAGACCACTCCCTCAAAGTTAGTGGGATGGACTGTCATCCTGCCCAGGGCCTGCTTGCTGCACTTTCACATGCGATGGAGTCTCAGCGTGAAGCGGGGGGGGGG